AGTAGGTACTGCAGGCGGCCATGACGATGAACACCCAGGCCAAACCGCCGCCGAGGACGGCGACGACCCAGGACATGAGGCAGGCGAAGACGATGATGCCGGCATTGTGGTACCAGTCTGGATTGGTCAGCGGGGTATCAAGGGGCGCGGGAGACACATTGCTTACCTCCAAAGAATTTATCATCGAGGCGGGACTCGAGAAGATCCTGGTGATCGAGGAGGGTGCCCTCTTCCCGCTCCTTTTCGAGTTCTTCGTCCGACTTGGCGAACTGCGGAGCCCAGCCGGTCCGGTCCCGGTGCCAGCGCATATCATCATCCATTTCTTTTTTCTCGCCCGGGGTGTGGTTGCCATTCTCGCTCAGCAGCGTCGCCGCGGAGGTCGGTGGGGGGAGATTGGGGTCGGGGGTGCCCTCATCCTGCGTATGTTAGACATAGACTCCATCTAGGTCGATGTAGAGAATCGCGCGAAAACGTACCCGATCTGTGACGACGGCCATGCCCTGTGGTTTCTTATCCCGGTGCAAGCCCGGTGGCACCCGCTAGCGGTCGGAATCAGCACGGCGACAGGATGAGGATGGGAGGACGTGAGTGAGAACGGGAAGGACATACCGCTTCGGCCGCAGCGGCTTTGTCTTCGGGAGAGGTTGCGGGATCGAATTGAAAGGCGGGGAGGCCAGCCTTGCGAGTCTCGTCGACGAGGACCTTTTCGGCGGCCGCGGCCGCAGCCTCGGCCTGGGGATCCTGAGCCGCCTGGACGGCGGTCTCAATGGCACCCTCCTGCCTCAATTCATGTTCTTGGCCTTGAATGTCTTGCGACATGGCTGTCGGGGAGAGGTGGGGGTGAGGAAGGGCCGACAATCCAATCCTCGGGGTGGGATTACTGGCGGTCCCTATGAACTGGGGTTAGCTCAATGGGAGGAAATTGCGGGTGTCGGCAGGAACAAAGCGAATTGAATGACAAGGACGGGTAGGTACAGAATAGAGTTCTTCTCTTCAAGAAAAAGAAAAGAAAACAAAGACAAGAAAGAAAAAGGTGAGACGAGTAGAAGGAAAAAAGTGGGAGAAGGGGAGGATGCAGAGTGGGCGGTTGGAGATTGAGTGGTTGCCTTCAGCTCCGCAGCGGGGAGGGGGGAGGTCGGAACCAAGGATACGGGGGTCGGATAGGAGATTCGTACCTGATTTGGTGTATTTTGGGGGGGTTCAGGGAGTAACAATCAGGAAGGGTGTATAATAGTGGGAGTATGTGAGAGAGTGTGTGTTCGAAAGAGAAAGAGAGAGAGGGAGAGACAGAGAGAGAGAGGTGTCAAGGGGAGAGCGTAGAGCGAGGAGAGAAGTGAGAGGAGAGAGAGGAAAGAGGAGACGGGGAATTGGGAATTGAACAGGCAAGCCACAGTCTGGAGTGTTGTGGCTGAAGCTGAGAAGTAATCAGTAGGATGAATGAATCAGGGGAGGCAGCAGAATAAAAGGATCGAAAGAGGAAAATAAGAAGACCGAGAGAGAGAGAAATGACGTCGAAGCAAAAGAAATGGAAGAAAAGAAGAAAAGGGACGATCCAGGAGAAAAGAATGGCTGTGTATGGTTACCGTTCGGATACACTCCCCACTGACTATACACGCTATGTGTTAGTCTCTCCATCTCCTGTCCCGATCATGATCTCCATACCATGGAGGTCACGAGATAGTAAAGTATATAGTATATGTTGAACAGACTGGAGTCTCATGGTAACTATTCTAGGTAAGAAGCTTCCTCATACCCACTACTATCATCATCCATTAACAATTTCCCAAAAGATCCTGAAAGATGGATAGTTCCGATCCACCGATCTGTTCTTCTTGCACCGCCACCGATCATTCAGCCACAATGATCTATACAGGCCCAATACCATTGAAAATTGATTTCATTATGAATATCCTCGGCTTGTTCCAATCCCAAACCTAACTCTAATCTCTCAAGTTCATCATGTTATACTTTGCAAAGATTCTATGGTGATCTGATCCACCGGTCCCTGCCAAGCCCGATCACCTCTTAGTCATCGGTAATCTATCTGTATTCCATGACCATCATTACACGTGGCATCCATCTCTCTCTCTCTCTCTCTCTCTCTCTCTCTCTCTCTCTCTCTCTCTCTCTCTCTCTCTCTCCTCTAACAATGGAAATCTCTCCTGCTCAATTGAAAATCTCTCTCCGTTTCCCTCACTCATCCGATCATGGTTCGCTAGGAGATTTCCACAGGGACTTGATCCTGTCTCTTCCATGGATCAAATACACCTCGATCGGATTCCCCGATGCGGACAAACTCTAAACTCAGCCGTCTTGCCACCTAGTCGGAGATCTCACCATCCGATCTCTCATACAATGTTCATCACTAAATGATACATGATATATCACTCTACATACCCCATACGATCTAACCCTAATACTACAACATCCCATTCCAATCCATAACCCACTTTCTCCCCCGTACAAAGAAAGGGTTTAAAAAAAAAAAAAAAAAAAGAGAAAGAGAAGGAGAATTCTCCCGAACTTACCACTCAAAATAATCGACTCGTCAATCCGATCCCAGTGGATCCCGCCGATCACACTACGAACTTGCCAACTCAACCATCCCAATCAGGCATCGTTCACAGCGTGCTGTAATTTGCCCTTTTCGCCAAGCCAGCGTGTTTCGTCATCGCCCCAACGCGGGATGGGTTCAATATATTGGATGGACTCGCATGGTTAGCCTCTTTCTCCGTACACACTACACTGTGATGCGGGGCGGTGGTCTGATTTTGATTCTTTGTAGACCCTTAATGACGTATTATCATATATTTATATTATTCTGACGTAGAATAATCAAGAAAGCAAGAAAGAAACAAAGAAAAAACAGAATTATAATAATAATAACAATAACAGAGAAATATTTTATATCCACGAGAACATCCAAAATTAAGCTGTGAGATCAAAAGTACATTGCGTAAAGCCCTAACCATGCACCCTCGGCCAACACAAGCCTCGATCCACCCACTCCATCCCTCTAGGTAAAAACCACCCCATGCACCCGACTCGTGAGAACAGGTCCGTGTCCATCCTAGTACCATCCTCGGAACCTTATCCCGCAGACTACCCACACCCACTCCTACGTAGTGGTCCGTAGTCCAATCTTCAACAAGTGGGAGAGTATACCTACACCGCGTTGTGGCAGGATTTCCACTGGCGCTGTACTCGCGCGGACGGCTAAGATTCCCAGGACATCCTATTCTTCTACTGTCCAGCGAGAGATCCAGTCCGTTTGTGTGGTACAAGCAAGTCTCGCTTAATTATAGTTCTGGGCACATAGGCTAAATTTGCACTGTTCATCCAGTCATTTGGCCCGTCCATCACTCTATACAATAGGAGGATAAACGATATGGATGGCAGCCGCTCAAATGCAAGGCACGATGGCACTGCGTCCGTGCAGGCTGTTTGAGACCAAAACCTGGAGGGTACGGTCGATATATAGTTCGCTCAGATTGCTGGGCGTTTTGGATGGGTGTAGGTGTGGCTGGTGTGTGGACTGCATGCAAGGTTCAATAAGTGTTGTGTCACAGGAATACGTGTTTCTATTTCGGAAATAAGAATTGTCATTTTATTGCAATAATACAATTTTATGCTGCGAGTATGTAAATATTTGTATCATGTCGTGGTTTCTGGATTGTTCTGCTGCGCCGGTATCATATTTCAGGACATATATGTACACGAATCACTGTCTTTGAGGCCAGATTACCATACTCAACCATTCATATCTAGCAAGTACGGAGATTACAAGCAAAATAAGCAGATAATAGTTTCCATAGTCCCAAGGACAACCTGGCCGAAATGGATAGGGTGCAGCGCATGAACCCGACCGCACCACCAGAGACAGTCCCAACAATGGATATTTCTTACAGTGTAGAGGTATCTCCACTGAGCATATTGACCAAGTCACTGAATACCCCGCAAAAGCACAGTACAGCAATGGAGAAGGGCCTCGATAGCCAAGTGACTGCTCGGTAGACGGTGTGTCACGTGCATCAAAATCTGCCAGTCTGACAATAACATCAGTAAGCTCAAGAGTGCCATTGGGGGGAGAGAAATAGATACCTATAGTGTAAGTACAGGGTTTAGCATGAGGTAAACAGTATAATAATCTCATATTTCAAGAAAATAAGGTTATTAATACCAAAAAATAAGTCATGCCACACTACTACAAATGGTAGATTTTGGTCATGGAATATAAAGCCAAAAGGAGTTTATACTTTCAAGAATCCCAGCATGTTAGCTCAGGGGAAGAGCGCCGGGCTCATAACCCGGAGGACCCTGGATCGAAACCAGGACATGCTATTCTTTTTTTCCTCTTTTTTGTTCCTCGGGTATGGGTGCCTGAGGTGTCATTGTTGGTGGTAGTATTTTTCAATCTTTATTCTTCATGGCTTCGTTGTGTCAATCATTTTCATTGGGAGCCTTTGAATTTGCTATTCTTGTCTATTAGAACACTGAATGGATGAGTGTGGTTATGATATATACCCTGACATTCCTCCTGGCTGTCCGACTCATGATATATATATTGTTCATCAAATCAGGTGAGTTTCCCATAATCAGCCTTTCAACCATCCATTTATAACCACTGACAGTATCTTCCACAGCCACATGGTGCAACTGGCAATAAATACATAGCACTTATGTGACGTGGATTTCCTGACAAAACTGCAGGGTGACGATTACAAGAGAGGGCAATATAGGACGGTTGCACCGTGGCCGCTTATGCCCAGCTGGTTCCTAAGGCTACACCGGAAAGAACCAGAGAAGATACTTGGCAACGGTTTGCAATTCGCATATCGCTGACATGACAGTCATATGGTGTTTGATATACTATGAATATCTGATAGCAAATTGAACATTCCTCATTTGCTCATTGCGGTCGTTCAAACAAAGGACTTCAACCATATGAAAGTATAACGAGATAGACACTGAAAGCCATGTCCGAACCACTGCCACCCGTACTAAGTACCCTTTCGCGGTACCTCACACTCAATCAAGCTCTCCGTCGCATTGTTGATCGTCCAGATCTTCACGATCTTCAATCCACACGTCTCGATGTTCTTACGCCAACGCCCCTCAGAGCGCTCCCTCGCCCCAAACGTTGCCATCATGACCATGTCCAAACTGGTGCTCTCCCAATGCGCGTCTGTCGTGGGTATGACGTACTCATGAATCAAAACCTTGCTAAACCCGATTTCCAGCGCCGGGATCAGATTCCAGAGTATGGCGCGAGCCCTATCATCAGGCCAGTCATGGAGGATGTGGTGCAGGTAGTACACACGAGCGCCTAACCGACATTAGTCCAATGCTAATCCACCATGAAGCTCGGTAGGGAATACTGACACTTAATCGGCTGCATCTTAAACATGTCATGCGGCACCAGCTCGATCTTCGAGGGCACACGCTTCTTCGCCTCCTCCAACACCTCGGGCAAATCCTGCAAGACCAGCCTCCCCGGCACATCCGGAAACCTGCCATGGAACTCCATGATATCGTGGCCCAGTCCACCGCCGATATCCACAAATAGCGGGCGGCTCTCATGAATGTCTAAACCATCAAACAGTCTTTCAGCAGGATAAAAATCCATCCAGCTGGCCCGGCCTTTCCTGCAAACAGACATGAAGCGATTAAACTGCTTCCCGGTGGTAGAGTGCGCCTTCAAATAGTCGAAGAAGCCCAATTTCGTCTTATACCCGTCTTGGAACGCGCAGTGCTGCCCATCTGCCGGGTTCTGGTGATCCCTCTTTTTCAGATGCGCCGGGAGGGCGAGGACCCCCGCGGTGATGCAGTCAGCCCTGTGGACATCAGCATGCGACTCTGTCTATACTAGGTACACTTCACTTACATGCACTGGAAAGAGTCGCTAAAGCGCGTAGAACACATCGCCTGTGTGAAACCTGTCCGACGATACTCGTGGGGCCCGACCTCTTCGATCGCGCCCATCGCAGCCAGGTGTTTCAAAATGCGGGCTGGACAATCAGACAAGCTCACTTTAACAGACCACAGATGAAAGAAAGGAGACTAACAAAGCATGGACGGATCCGCACCGCACGCCTCAGCCAGCTGAACCGCGCTCTTAGGCGTGTCATCATCAGATAGATCTTTGAAAACACGACAATTGCTAGCGATCTGAATAGCAGCGTATGTGGAGCTCTAAACAAAGCAATAATCAGACGAATCTTTAAGCGAAGATGAAAACGAAACCAGACATACCTCAGCCCAGCTATACCTAGCAAGAGCCTCCCGGGGCGTCTCCAACGCATAGACCAGCGCGCGCGCATTCTCCAACAGCTTCACCCTCGTGGCTCCAGTCGGACGAGCGCCCTCGGCAAGGCCCGCCGAGATGATATTCGCGACATACCCGGAGACTTTGTCCGGCATGTTGGGCTCGAGGCCTGCGTTTTCGTCGACATGCACATACTTAGAGTGGCGCCTGCGCCGTGCTTGGGATGGATCGGTAGGAGCCATGTTTGTGTAAAGCGAAGAACGAAAGCTACCAGAACAGTACAATTGACGGGAAACCAAAACAGATCTCATTGAGCACAACCAGAAAATACAAGGGACGAAGTCGATACTAATACTTACGATCTACACAAGCTGTAACTATCCCCACGTGACCACAAAGACGGTGGCATCGCCGCAGGAGTAGGACAATTCCGGCCTCGACAAAGAGCACATCCGCAGAGTATAAAGAAGCCAGCAAGAGGAGATCATTCAAGCCCAACGACAAAATCCCCAGTCCAGAAACTGCGCCATATTGTCGTCAAAGTGAATCCTACCCGTCATCAAAGAACGCCACAGCCCAAAAGATGACTGCTACACCTGCGGGGTGGTCCAAGTGTGCTCGTCTTTGACTAACTCGGTTTCATCAAAGGCTTGGTGTCAAAATACTGCTACCATGGATGGATGCTTACGGCGCTGAATGTTACAGTCGGCAAGGCTGTTCCCTGTCTGGGTGGTGAGGTGAAAGCGAAGTAATCTATGAATAGAGTTTGGTTTGCCCGGGGACGCCGGTTACATGCTCGCTGTTGTACGACTAGTGATTGTTGTACGTGTATGGGTGCTATTCTAATCTTATTCACATTAGATCAGATTGCCTGGAGGTTGGTGGTAGGAGTGTACTCGAGTACCTAGTCTTTGAATGACGTGACATCGTTCTATAGAAGACTCTTTACAACGGTTGTGTGACTCGACAGATCACTTTAATGGACTGTGTAGTCCAGTAATTGCCTAATCCTGAACCACGAGTGTTCGTCCTACAAACACTAGCCCATCTTGATACCTCAGTAGCAACTGATAAACCGCGCATCTCCCGCGTGGTAACACACACCATGCTGGTTCATGCAACCTCCCCGGTAATATACCATCGTTAGTGCCGGGTCACTGCATAGAAAGATCACACGGAAGGAAAACATCCCATAGGAGAACCAGATGCGACACAATAGTGACACAGGAATGGACGCTTTTCTATCATTGCATGTATGTCGTCTAGTGTATCGACTAATGCCCCACAAATGTATAGCGCATTAGTCTAACGGCGTCCCCACGTCGAGACCCCGTCGGATAATGAGAATGTCGTGCTTCCGGACTATGGCAAACTCCCGTCTCAAGGGAATATATTCGATTAGAAAGTTGTGCGTGCTGCCCTTCCACTCTGAGAGGAGGAAAAAGTGTCGTTTTGCGCCTTGTCTGTGCGCAATCCACTGGGTGATATCCACGCTGCATATCCATAGATCTTTATCCAAAAGGATAAGAAGACTCTTGTCCACATGAATAATCTGGCGCATGTTGGCGGATATATGTTCAAAGTTAGGAAAGGAAAGTGGATCGGGAAAGTCTCTGTTCGTGGATATCTGGGAAGCGTCCCAGACTTTGAGTTCGTAGGGATGACTCTTTTCTGCACTGTCGTGCGATGTGCTGAGAACGGCAACGTGTTTTTGAGGGCTAGTTAGATGTGCCAGACTTGGGGATGTGGAGTCATGTGTACCCTGAGCTGCGGTACCACTTGTGCCATTTCCTTTCGAGTCTTCATCCCACGCGTAGGAGGCGGTGTGATTAGGGCTAATAGATAAGAAAACGTCGGGCTGTAAGGGATGGTTTAAGAAACTAGAGTCATTGTTGGACTGCTGCAAGTCAAACTTCGTGTCGGTCCTCGACCCGGACATTGTCCACATTTGAGCCGAGCCCCTCCCTTGGACAAGTAGCCTAGTGCCACTGATGTTGACAAGCAAGGCTAGAACGGGATAATCTGAGCGCATGTCCATAACTGTAGAAACCAGCTCGCAGCCGCTAGACGTAGACTTGATCTGGGTCGCCAGAATCCGACTGGATTCGTCCCCGGTAATCAGCAGCCCAGCCTGTTCGCAGTACGCAATGCAATTGATTCTAATATTCTGCGCATGCTGATACAAGACTCCGCGATGGGCGGCACCCAAAACATCGAAATACGACACGGTGCCGTCCTGTTTTGCATAAAACAGGTACTGCCCACTGGGATGCAGACAAACAGCGGTAATATCAGCCTCCGGGGGCCCCTCGAGCATACCGACAGAGCGTGGATTGAGCGTAAGAGCCTGGCTAAGATCGCTCTGGCTGCCCTCGTCAAAGTCGTTAGCGACAAGCACACTCGGCTCCCATATGCGGCACTGGGAGCCTCGAATATCAGCGAAGCGCAGGCTGTCGCTGCTGAATGCAATGCCGCGAATTCCTTCCTCGAACGCGTTGATTCGATACGTCAGCGTTAGGTTTGTGCCACGTGCACCGGAAAACTCGAAGAGCTGGATTGTGCCCCGCGCGCTGCCTGTGATTAACATGCGCCCGTCCGGCGAGCAGGCTAGGGTATGGGCGAACACATTCGGCACTTGGTAGCATAGGTCGGCAGTCCATTGATCAAATACTGCTAGCCCCCCGTCTCCGTACGACGCTACCAGAACACTGATCTCGGGGTTCGGGTTAAAGACCATGCCGTCAACGACGTACTCGCTCCCTTTGGCTCTAGCAGAAGACCTGTTGCAGGATCCAATCATTGACTCCGTCTTTATGTCAAACAGATATATTGGCTTTCCTCTGTAACTTACGGCAAGGACCATGCAGTCCTCCGACAAAATGGCCTTTCCCGGGGGCTGGACGGGCTTCGCTTCGCCCGATGCTTCGTGGAAACTGCTCGCCCACCACCAAATTTCTTCTTCGTTTTCATCGTTCTGCAGATCCCATGATACTGTATAGCTTCCGCTGGTCACAGCCACTAGACAGGTATTTTCATCCGCAAAGGCCAGTGTAAGGGGCGAGTGCTGAACATCAAAACTCCGAATCTGCGTTTGCGTCTGTGTGTCCCAGACTCGGATCGTCCGCGGGCCACTCGACGCGAGGTACAGGTCATCATTGCTCAAGACGAGGTCCAGCACCCGCTCACCATGAGATAGCGTAATGCTGGGCTCTGTTGAATCGCGAGGGTACAGCAATATCGTTCCGTCCGACACTGCGACCACCAGGTAATGATCGCCGTAGGTGACCGCGTTGGCCCGCGCATCGGAATACTCAATCCTCGATAGACAATCATCCCAGTTTGTCTCCCTCGCACCCCTCACGATAATCCCCCGAGGGCGGGCAGCGTACGTCTTTGATATTACCGACTCGGAAGGACAAAGCGCGGGCACTGCGCTGTGGATAACAGACGGGCAAACTGTCAACGGCGCTCGGAATTTTGCATTGAGTCTGATGAGATCGTGGATCCATGCCTCTAGGTTTTCCTTCTCATTTGAAAATGGCTGAATGTGTTTGAGACGGCGCATAAGGTAGACTTTCAGATTCTTTGCTGTGCGTGTCAAATGCTGCAGTCTTCTTGTTTGAGAAAGGTACTCAATCCACATAAGCACATGGTTGTCTAGGAACTCGACCAGTAGCTTCCAAGCAACGTAGTCATCCGATGCGCATCGTTGCAGATGGTCGGAAAAGTACAAGGCAGCGTAGTCCGCAATATCGGACTGTGACGCTGACGATGCCGTAGCTGCCTTATTCCCCCGGCCAGCCATTTTGCTGAACCTCGCACTCAACGACCTGAGACACAACTCGGCGATTCTCGAGTGAGCCTTTGGCTTACTGATGGCTAGCGATGGCACGACCTCCTGGTGGAGTAGAAACGTCTTTGCGGTCTGATGAATGCACTGAACCTGACCATTGTAACTCAATCCTATCAGCTGTCCGCAAATGGCCATGATGACATTCGGCAAGTTGTGGACGGTCTCGCCTGTATCCAACTTGACGGCTGGTTTCAGCTCGTCTAGGGACAGTGGTCGCATTGCCAACAGGGTCCAGGTGAAAAGCGACCTCGCGAGTCTAAGACCTTTCGGCGGTACGCCTACCAGCATTTTGGCATACAGATCGTTCATATCCGCGGGCACCTCGTTGAGAACCTCCTCCGCTGCCTCCTCCGAGTATACATTCTCGAGCTCTTGGACCACGAGGGAAGTCCACAGAAAAGACCCCCCGGCTCTATCCAGTATCTTGGTCTTCAAGTCCTGCTGGCCGTCATTGTTATCGACCGGAAGAAAGTGTTTTCTTGAGTCGATGTAGATCCCCAAGTCAGCGATTGTGTCCTGTTCTTGTATTGGATAATGCCCAACTGTCTGACTGTTTGACATGATAGTTTGGTGCGCTTCGGCTGTGTGACGGCTCGTCAGAAAAATACGCAAATGCGATGGTGCCTTGGACAGTAGCGAAAGAAACACAGGAAGTCGTCGACACTCGTCAATTGCATCGATGACCCAATAATGCGGTTCACTGCTGTGTCCGGTAAAAATAGACCCCATGAATGCCTTGCGCCACAAGGTTCTCTCGTCCAGCTGCTCTAGGCTCTGAGACCCCCCGTAGGCCCTCGACAGACCCCGGAGGACCGCTGCGTCTTTTTGGCCCATCTGAAAGGCAAGCGAAAGAAGACATCTCGTGATAGAACAGTTACTAGCACTGCCGTGGCCGAAGTAGAAGTAACTGCATCGATAGCCACATTCCTCGAGGTCGTTTACCACGTAGCTGGATAGAACTGACTTGCCGCTCCCCGCGTCGCCCGTCAGCCAAAATATCGGTCGGCCTGGAAATGACGCTGATTTCCAAGTAGTATATTGATCTCTCGAGTTCAGCCATTCGCATGTCCCCGCAACACGGCGGTCTTCGAGGGCTATAAGGTTATCGATAGGGGCCTCGCTCACACCAGTGAGAGCGATGAGGTTGGAGTAATCGGACTTGGACGTATCGGATGTATTCTGGGGGACTAAGTACGGATTAATAAACTGGGTCAACACCGGCGTGGTACGGGAACTGTACCTGCGGCCTGGATCGAGTCAATGGTGGCGATGAACGCATTTCTCAGGGTCTTGTAGTTGGCATCCGTTGGGGTTTCAAACTTGCATATTGCTCGGTGGTCGGCATTCAGAAGGAACACTCGTTCTTTCGGAAGGCCAAGAGTCGCAGATTCCTTCTCGACAATGATTGAATTGCCAAGGGGTAGGCTGGATGGGACGGTCTCGTAGAACGACCACAGTTGTAGTTCGTGCGCGAAATAGCGGAAGCTGTCGTCGATTGATTGAAGCGACGCTGAGTTGCGTTCCAGCTCTGTCACATAATGCTTCTGACCGAAACATACCTTCAGGACATTGTTCAACGTCCCTGCCAAGTCCGCTCCACGATGGGGTGTCGCCAAGAAGTAAAGCGTGTCAATCCTACTCGCGATGTCCTTCAACGTCGGATCTTCTCTGGCTAAGATGTATGCCTATTGAATTCTGTCTAAGATACGGACGAAACGGCGTAGCCCCAAAGTGACATACCTTTTTTGTGACGATCCCACCCATGCTGTGCGCGACAAAAACAATTCTCGTCTGTGATTTATTAACCAAAGCAATATCAGTTGGGGTATGGTCAATGGCCTTACGTCGCTTCGCCGAATCTCAGGACTGCATTGGATTTCACCCAACAGAGCCAGCGAGAAGTCCTGGATATTCAGAAAACTGGACTTTCTTTCCGCCCAATCCGCCTTATACCCAAAGCTGTGGACACGAACGCAGCTGAACTCTGGGTCTCGAGACAGCCACTCTTTGGGCCAGTAATGGTAGGGGTCTGGTGATTTAGACCATGTTTTCCGCGAGCCGCCTCCCAGGCCATGAATGAAAATAAGATCTACCAGGGGTTCTGGCACGCTGTGGAGGAGATTTAGTCCTAGAGGGCCTTTGAAGTCTTCACGTTCATCCGAGAAGTCGCCGTCAATATCTGCAACGCTGCTCGAGACGCTGTTTTTGCGATCGGTGACCAGCCCAGTAAGCCCACTCAAGGCTCTGTCGGACCGACTGGGGCGCTTATCTGCTGTAGAGCGCCTGCGAAACTGATGCATGTTAGCAGAGGACAGAACCGCGTTGATATGCAATACAAACCTTCTCCATTGCCCAAGTGCTGGGCGGACCTAAAATATTGGCCCACAGGAACTATCTCATTCAGGGATGGCGACAGGCCTTCACAACGCGTGAGGTGGAAGAGACAGTGTGGTTACTTCCCCGCTATTCACTTGCTTATTCGGCTCGTCTTATCTTCCGTTGGCAAACGGAAGCGCCAGGATCTATTATTTGTACTAGCTCTGCAATACTAACCGCTAGTCTGGAAGAGGGAATCCCGCTGAATTGCGACATGAGCGTGATAAGTCTGACGAGCGGTGCTGTTTCGGCTAGACGCTATGCTGCTGACGCTTATGTAGTAGGCTAAGCTGGAACAGCTGTCACTTGGAGGCCGCGAACCGCACGATTGGTCATGAGGATTTGGATCAAGACACCTGTGTTAAGACAACTGAGTCGCTTAAATATCACTGCCACACTCCGTCTTTGTTTCAGCAATCGCACGGCGCTAAGTGCCTGTGATTATATATACCGCAGATGAACGCATGAGACAGGTTCAGTCGAATGAGACACACTTTGACGACAGACATCTCTGAAGCAAACTCTAGGCGCAAACTTCAGCATGGGTTCCATAGCAGGCTATGACGAGGCTGCGAAAATCACAGCGCTCGATGCAAACATCCTCTCTGGTATACGGCCCTACAATTCTAGCACAGGGTGAGCGACTGACTGCTCTTGTTTTGACAACAGAAATCCCACTATTCAATCGGCCTCTGACTCTAACGAACCATGGATCTTCCGCTTGGGCAGAAAGCTATCGTATTGACTTGGAGGTCAATGATCAGACTGAGAGCTATTTTATGAAGGTAAGGGACACGGCCTACCTACGTACTGCGAACCCACCCTCGATCTAGTTGATTAATGCCCGTCAAAGGTGTCCGTGGGATATCATGGCAGAGAAGCTTTGAGAGGAGAGTTCGAGTCCACGTCTGCCATGCACGACGTCGTTGGAGATTTCACCACCAAACCGATTGGATGGGGGTCTTTCAAAAGCCTACCAGGAGCTCACTACTATTTCTGTCAGTTTCACGATCTGGACCAAGAAGTTCCTGAGCCAGAAAAATTTTGTCAAGGCGTCGCTACTCTCCACGCAAAGAGCCAGTCTCCTAACGGGAAATTCGGGTTTCACATCGTGACATACAACGGAGACCTCCCACAGAATAATGATTACGCTGATACATGGGAAGAGTTTTTCATCCACGGATTCAAACACATGATCCAGCTCAACATTGACCGTGGCGGACCCTGGAGCGAGCTGGACGGCCTGGATACTACCATGATCGCCAAAGTAATCCCGCGACTGCTACGGCCCATGGAGACGGACGGCCGATCCATCAAGCCGTCCCTGGTTCACGGCGACCTCTGGTGTGGAAATACGGCGGTCGACGCCGCCACCAACCGGCCTCTCATATATGACCCCGCCAGCTTTTATGCCCACAATGAGTGTAAGCATCGCCACTCCTACCAACTCGTTTGGCCAAAGCTAATAGGACAAAATGGCAGATGAACTAGGGAATTGGCGTCCCGAGCGGAACAGATTTACTATGAAATACTTTGAAGCCTATCACTTCCACATTGGGAAGACTCATCCAGAGAAGGATTATGACGACCGAAATGCGCTGTATTCCATGTAAGGCACCGTTCAACGGAGAGAGACAAGAGTTGCTTATCCAGTCTAGGCGCTTCAACCTTCAAGCTGCAGCTCTATTCCCTGATAACCCCTCCTTGCGAGAGTCGTAAGTCCCCAGTGTGCCTGACCATGCACAACCCTGCCTGCTCACACTTCTAGGGTGATCGATGAAATGAAGCGGCTCGTGGAAAAATACCCTGGCGGGTACGAAGAATACGCTAGCAACAAGGCTTAAACAATAGATGGTACTGGCCCGTCGACCAATGCCATCGTGTCCGTGCGGTTTGTTCTGCTGTTTTAACGAATTGGATTTGACTATGAACTTGGACCCTTCCGACCATTCCTTGTGCCTAGTAGATAGGGCGCGATAGGTTGAGCGTAGCGTACAGCCCCACCAAAGCGGGGTAAGTATCCCTGGGCAAAGGAGACCCAGGCGCCCCGCCCCGCCCCGTCACGAACATCCCAAAGCCCACGGTGACAACAACTAAAGTTGAGGTTCAACCAAAGATTTTCAGCATTAACGATGCCGGATCCAAAAGCACTGCCTGGCTCCTTCACCATTCAAGGAAATGCCCTCCCAGCCATTGGACTGGGAACCTTCCAAGGCGGCGCCGACAACAACCAGGTAAAGGAGACGGTTTTGAAAGCCCTAAAATGCGGATATCGACATATTGACACGGCGACGGCGTACGGAAACGAGAAGGAGGTGGGAGAGGCAATTAAGGAGAGCGGTGTACCACGGGGTGAAATATTCGTGACAACCAAATTGTAGTATCCCTTCATTGATCCTATATATCTCGTCTCGGGGTTATCAAACTAAGTCTTCGCAGGGCGCAAACATGGCATGAATCTGCCGACGTAGAACGGGCCTTGGATAAGAGTTTGGAGCTGTTACAGTTGAGCTATGGTGCGTCTAACCAACATAGAATTGAAATTGAAACAAATACTAAATAATCACAGTGGACCTGTATCTGATGCACTGTATGATTATCCGCTGCGCCTGCTAGAGCAACATGCAGCTAACTGGTAAAGTCCCGCATGCCTACCGCGCTGGCCCAAATAACAGCACCATTCGACATTCGGACGGAAAGGTACCCTCTCTTGTATTGACTGTATAGTGAGCCTCATTGATTTAAACCATACAGCCAGTCATAGATTACACCCTATCGCGAGACTATTGCTCTACATGGACGGCCATGGAAACCGTTGTCGACAAGGGCAAAGCGAGACTGATCGGTAAACATACACTGGCTTTTTGACATACTTCATCCAAGTCTGATAATGCATATTGATACTTCACAGGAGTATCCAACTTCAGCATCCTCAAACTTCGAAAACTTCTCGCCAAAGCCCGAATCCCACCAGCAGTAAACCAAGTGGAGGCCCATCCGTACGTAATCATCATCCTTACAGCGTCATCCTAGATAATGTCAAGAATGATACTAATGATAAGAGTAGATACCTCCCCCAAACAGCACTCCTCCACTTCTGCACCAACCACGGAATCCACATCACAGCGCACCAACCCCTAGGTGGCAAGCCCGTTGCAGCCGTGAACCCCAACGCCGACCGACCAGGGCCACTTTACGACCCAGACGTAAGTACCCAGCACCCTTATACTTTCAAAACATGCTAAATGTGCATATCCACAATCTATAGATCACAGCCATTGCAACAAAACACAACCTATCCCCCGCGCAGGTCCTCCTCGCCTGGCTTCTCCAGCGCGGCATCTCTGTCATCCCCAAGACGGTGCACGAGTCGCGACTAGTAGAGAATATGGCTCTGCGTAGACTAGATGAAGAGGATATCGTGGCTATCACGGGGCTGGCGGAGCGAAAGGGGGAAGTGCGCTACTTGGACCCAAGGGGTCATGTGGGGTTTGACATTTTTGATGAGAGGGTTGATGAGCCTGTGGAGGGTGAGGACAGAACATAATGGATACAGGGATATTGGCATCTTTCTGGTACTCATATAGAATCAATTTCAGACGATGCGACTACTTACATGAAAATACAACATCATAGGGCTCATACGATCACCTGACCCCAAGGTGTATATTCCGAAAACAGCCTTCATCATTGAAGCATCATTGGTCTAGTGGTAGAATTCATCGTTGCCATCGATGAGGCCCGTGTTCGATTCACGGATGATGCACAAATATTTCTTTTTCTTTTTTGAGTCTGTGGCCTAGTGGCAAGTGGGCCGGAGGCTCCACTGATTAGATTGAGATCCCTAGGCAGAGATATTGTAGGCTTAAATCCTGCATATGTTTTTTAGCTATGTAAAAGAACACTACGGCCCCGAATGCACAAACGGCCCCCAAAGCATGGGATGCACACCCCTCCGCCTCATAACCCCCACAGCCTCATGAAACGCGAATGGCGCCCTCCCGAAGTCCACCACCTCGCGTCCAGTCTCCACCAACAGTCCGTAAAACAGACCCGCCAATTCTGCAGAGACACTATCCTGCACCTTCCACAGCGTAGATAACACATGCGGCACGCCGGCTATGTGAAACCCTCCTGCGATGTGGATGCCCTCGTCAAGAAGAAGCATGTCTTTGTTTGCGCCTGACTCGCAAGCTGATAGGTAGACAAGGTTGCAGGTCTTGAGGGCTAGGTTGAGGATGGTGCGTGTGCAGAAGGGAGGCGGACGGGTCTGGTTGTCTTGTAAGAGGATGGCGCTTTGGGAGGGGTCTTTGCTGTTCGCGACCGCGTGGCATGCGAAGTGGGCAATTGTGGAAGCGGGGAGGGCGGCCTTGATGGATTTAGAGGTCGGCTGGCTGGAGACGTTTACTGTGAAGGTTGGAGATAGGGTGTCTTTGATCGTGGCGATTTCGGCCTCGACGGCGAGATCGCCTTCTGGACCGAGGCCCGGCGTGGTTGCCATCGCAGCGAGGAGGGCTTGCGGAGCGGAGCTCGGCTGCAAGCCCATGCGCTGTGCATTCAATCGGGTAAATTCCAGCGACTTGAGCGAGTTAGTGTACGATGAAGCAGCGATGTCATGGACGCAACGAGGTCCGGTGGATTCCGACGACGGCGAGGGCTCAAAAAAGTCACCCGCGGCGTGGATGGGGAGCACGCTGATCCAGCCAGTCGAGACCCATATGACACGGGGTTTTCCGAAGGGTCCGCGCTCGTACCTGTCCCAGTTGATGGAGGTGAGGACCGGTTGGGCAGCTGCTTCCCATAGCCATTTCATGACTACTTTATATGCATCAAGGGCCCATGCTTGGGACTCGGGGATACTGAGGCTTTCTCGTGCTTGTAGGAATCGCTGGCCCCAGTGCTGTACTTTGCTTAGGGTGAAGGATGGTAACGGGAGATTGTACACCTCGTCTTTGGTGATCACGAGCGCGTCACTGCGGTAGTCGCTGCAGTTGATGAAGACGATTGGTGCGTCGGCGGCATAGGCTTGGAGGTCAGTGGTGGTGTCTGGGATGCGCAAGAATGACTGAAACCCTGGTAGTGCTCTGATGTCGCCGAGAACCAGGCGGTAGGCGTCCGAATCGTGCTGGCGCTGCATGCGATTTGCATCGTCCACCGTGACAGACGCTAGATCAAGATCGCCTGATGCACCGGCAGCACGCGATTGCTGAGTGACTCGTTGCTGCAGGGTGCGGAATCTTTCAGCGAGCATGGGGTCAATGGCCTGGATCTCATCCAGTTGTGTCTCCCGGCCTTGAACGCGGTCCCAGATGAAGGCACGTCCGGCTTCAAGACGTGGGATGACGGTGCTTGCGGGATCACCTGCGTCGATGGATAGGGCTGCAACCATACCCGGGACAGATTCATATTGTCGTACGAATTTGAGTTGCTCTAGTCGAGTCGCGTGCATTAATATAGCCTCGGGAAGTAGATCCAAGCTGATGAGAATGTCGTTTCGGGCCTTCGCTCGATCTTGAAGCACACGACTGGACAGCTCGGCAGCCTGACACGCCACAGTGATTCGGATGGCTGGCGAGATAATATTCAAGTTGGCGACATAATCGTATTTGTCTAGCGCCTGACGCGCATGCTCTTTGAAGTCAGACCCCAACTTTAGCTCATACATGGCATACAGTAGATCGGCGTGTTTCATTACGGGGACCCAGTAGACGGGGTCTTCCTTGCCCAGCAGCCCTTGAGACTCCTCATACGCCTTTGCACAGGTCTCGAAATTGGCGATCTCTCCGGTAGACATAGCTAGCAGCTGAAGACAAGCAGCCTTGTGGTTCAGCGCCATGCCCCGCAGTGGAGCCGATGCGGCGCTCCCGACGGCGAGACCCTTGGAGTAGTAGTCAATGGCATTTTCAAGGTCAATTGATTGCTCAGATACGCCATACGACAGTTGGTAGGTATTGCCCATAACGGTGGCGAGCATGGTCTTTACTCCGTCGCTGAGCGGGACAGAGCCGTCGAGTGCCTCGGCGAGTAGATCCTGTGTTTCTCTAAGATCGTCTACATTTCGCTTGCTTTGAAAGCGCAGCTGTAGTGCGGCGCTGAGATTCCCCACACGCAGAGCATGTCGCGGATGATGCGCGTCCATACCCGAGAGACTCCTGCGACAGTACTTGACGGCAGACTCGATATCAGCTTCCGCCCGCCAGTGGACAAACCGCTGCACCATGACGTTTCCAAGGGCGGAATTGACCATGAGAATATTGGGGTGTCGGTCCGTTTTGTGGGTCTGCTGAAGCACCGACAACGCCTCTTTATGTGCGTCGATGCCTTTCTCTAGGTGTTCGGGGCGCGCCTCGTGCCCGAACAGCTGTACATACGAATTTCCTAAATCGTTGAGAACCAGCGCTTTTGACGATGTGTCGTTGTGTATGAGTTGATCGGCCTGCGAGAATTTCGAAATTGCTTGGCTGAGTAGCTCGGTCTTTCGAGAGCCGTCGTACTCTGCGCGGGTCGCTTTGCCCATGATCCATACGCATTGGCCCTGGTGTTCTGAATTGTCAGACGGACACAGGGAGAGTGCTCGTGTGGCAGCAGATACACAGGCGCGCATGTCCTCTGGCTTTTGGAGACGCTCATAGCGCGTGGATAAAATCTGAGCCAGTAAGCGGTGGGAATCCCACAAGTCGTCATGATCCGGAGCCTGTGTGGCTTTTCTCCCACACTCAACCGCTTTGTCAATGAGCGACAGCTCACCACTGGCTTCGTACAGACTGTAGTAAATGGCTGCGAAGCAGCGGAAAACTAGCCCAGTCTCGGAATGCCCCGGCGGTAACACGTTGAATGCATCGTTAGCTAGCCTCAGGGCTTGACCGAGCAGATCTTCAGTCGCGCCCCGATCCAGGCATTTTTCTGATTTGCAGCGATAGAACTCTGCAAGTGTTACCCTTGACGTGATGGAGGTGGGGTCACTCGTGATAGATTTTCTCCACAACTCACAGGCCTTTTCTCCCTGCTCGGGGTCTCCTGACACCTCGAACCGCAGGTTATAGGCATTGGCAAGTTCGGCTGTAAAATGGAGCCAGCTTTGATTTCCCGGTGTCTCCTGACCGAGAGCTTTCTCATATAGAGAGATTCCTTTGTCTCCATCTGTAGCCATCTTTGCTATGCGGAAACGCCCAATGTACGCTTTTGCGGCGTTGCGGTAAATCATCCCATACGGTGCAAATTGCTGCGAAGAAAGATCCGGATGCGCGTCACAGAATTCGACCGCTTCATCGTGGGATTCAATAGACTCGGTGAGTGACATGACCCTCTCTGAGTCGCTGCCAGACATAGTAAGGTAAAGGAATTCCCCCTTGTTAGAGAGGTGCCGAGCGCGCGATGGTTGTTCTCCGGCAAGGCCGATAGCACAATCAAAGAATAGACTTGCATCTTCCTTGTCGCTGTCCAGCTTCGTTAACTCCCAGTGCTTCCAAAAGACGAAAGCGACGTCGCAGGCCCATTCGCACAATACGGCGTCATCCTCGTCGGCAAATTCCATCGCCAGTTTGTAATGGCGAACTGCCTCGTCTAGGTCGTTCTGTGCCTTTTTGTTCTCCCATCTTGTTTGGTACAGAAGTCCCAAGTGGTGGTTTGATTTGCCTCGGCCTGGATGTACGGCTGGTACGTACCACAGAGCCATGACTTCCATTGCGAAAGCCATTGTGAGAAGATCGTCATTACCTGTCTGTCGGTACTGGTTCAAGGCTCGGTCAGATTGGTGATGGCATAGCGCAGGATTGTTGGGATGGTTTCCGGAGTCTTGAATGGCGCAAATCAGGATCTTTGCCATGTATGGCAACGAGTCCAGATAATTGGGATCAGCGAAGAACGTTCCAGGTTGAAGATCCGTCGTCATGGGCTGATCCCGAGCAAAGGAATTTTTTGCAGTGTCGATATGGCATTGTGGGACTTCCGTCTGGCCAGACTGGCAGGCCATGTCGCGTTACTTCTCGGATTGAATTAGGGCCGTACAGAAGTCTACCAACCCGCAACCAGCTAATCACCAACTTGATATGTTGTTGGCATGCATGTTTATAAAAAACAAAAGATGCGACTTAGCTGAAAAATGCCGAACGTATTCGCCAGATCGTTCGATGTCCAGAGCGGGGCAGCCCCCAATTCGTATTCACGACGAGGGGGGAATGAATCCTTGACGGGGTCTCATCCAATCGATCTCTCGGTTCTCACCGATTGAATTATCAGCCCCACTGTGCTTCTATTTGTTTATCTTTGACTATCCAACCCCGCACACGCATCACATTGGCCAGCTGGCCGCAGTCGTCATTGTCGGCGCTTAAAACAGGGCTTCGCGGAACTCGGGCAAAATCGTCCACTCGATTCAGACGTAGATTTCAGTTTTTAGAGCTCTACCCACAATGTCCACCATCGGAACCCTCTACCAGCAATCCATGCTGAGACACCCCTACGGCTATGCATTATACGAGCCTGAGTCGACAAAGACGCTCAAGCCCGGATCCTGCGGCTATCTGACCGAGCTAGGCCAATGGACGCCCCTGATCGGAGAGGACCAAGCGCCCATCAACCTGGGCGACTCGTCGTCTCTCAGCCGCAATGGGCTTAAGCCATTCGAGCAATTCTACCGCGCACCAACTGACAAAAGAGCATGGGGCCCAAAGGTGTGCGGGCAAGTCAAGCAGCGTAAGCTAGAGCTCGACATCGGCGCGGGGCTCATCCCAGCGGGCATTCCAGCCGACGTGGGCGCGCTGTACCGGTATAGCAACGAGGGGGGGGTTCGGCGCCATCCTCATGACGCAGAGCCCGGTGACGAAAGAGTTTGTGTACGGCGCGACTGCGTTCCGCGTGTGGTGCAAGGAGAACTCGCGGATGATTCTGCGGCAGTGGCCGGATGTAAGAGAGCGGGGGCTGGTGATTGTTACATCGACGTATTCGACAGATTTTGCGATGCTAAATGCGTGGACGGACACCGCGAAGGAGCTTTCTGTTGGGTTTCGCGCGGGCGTGGTGGGAATTGGTGAACTGGGACCGTCGTGTACTTGGTATACGGCGAATGGGGAGAGTGGCTGGGTGTCTGTTGCGGCGGGGGAGGCGGACGAGAAGAAAGTTGTTTTCTTCGGGGGGCTGTGTTTCAGGTATAGAAGATTGGGGGCAATCCTGCCTTCGTCCCATGCGTTTAGTGCGTTTCCTGTCGAGAAGGCGAAGTTCCGGGCTGGTGATCCTGATGCGAAGGAGTTCCAGACTGTTGATGAGGGGGAAGATGGAGCATATGAGGTGATGGTGACTGCAGAGGAGCATGGCGAGATGATCAATTTACCTGGGAGTAACGAGGGGAATGATGAGTATGATGACTTTTGACGGCCTCTAGTCTGATAGCGTAAATGGAATATGAGGCAACGGAGAAAGCATTTGGATGGAGTAGGGATATGAAATTTTGATCAGTATCAAGAAGATATAGATGAAATAGAGCCAACAAGCACAAAAGCCACAATGACACTGCAGATATTTGATAGATGCGAAGGTTTAAACAGCCTCGGTAAACTCCATGCATTCTCCAAACGACCCATACCGCGCATTCAAATAATCCAGTATGTAGTTCGACCGAGGCCGCCATGGGGAGATATTCCCCGTCTTGGGTAGACTGTCATCAGCAGCGACGATGTACGTGGACTTCAGATCCCAAAGTCTACAAGGCAGGCCCGACGAGCCGCGCATGCGAGGCGTGCACGCCAAAGTAGTCCCCTTCCCATTTTCCATATGCTTGATCAACCGACAAATGAGCAACGCACTGACATCGACGCCAAGCGTCCACGAGGCATTGGTCAAGTAGCCTAGAACGAAGAACGCGTTAGGGATGTCCTGGAGCATGACGCCTTTCCACATGAACTTCTGCGACAAGTCGCAGGGATCGCCGTCGACTGTGAACTGGGTGCCGCCCCCTATTTGAAGGCTCAGCCCGGTAGCAGTGACGATGATGTCCGCATTGATGACTCTCCCGCTGTCGAGGACGATATCGCGATCAGTGATTTCTTGGATGTGTGTTGTCTCGATAGTAGCCCTGCCGCCGCGCAGGCTTTGGAAGAAGTCACCGTCGGGAGAGGCCAACAAGCGCTGATCCCACACGTTGTATTGGGGGGTAAAATGAGGATCGATGGGTATATGATCCGGTAGCTGTTGACCGACTAACTTGAGAATGAAGGCCTTCGCGAGACGAGGGAACCGAGGACATATATAATAGCCTGCGAGAGTGACGGCCAGCCACCCATAGCACTTTAATTTACGTGAGAGGGCAGTGGGAAGCAATCGCGTCAGCCATGTACTATTGCCCGAGCTAGAAGACACAGACACGATGTAGCTTGGATTGCGTTGAATGACTGTCACGGCGGATGCGGTCTCTGCGAGTTTGGGGACAAGCGATATTGCAGTGGCGCCGCTGCCTATGACAGCCACTTTCTTTCCGCGGTACTCCAGGTCTGGTGGCCAGAATTGGGGATGCACGACCGTCCCGCGGTAGGTGCTTAACCCTGGAATTTCTACCGACAGAGGATGCTGATGATCGAAGTACCCTGTGGCAAATATTACAAACCGGGAACGGAAACGACGACACTCTTCATGTTGAGCCACCGTTTCCAAGGCCCACATATTGTCTTGGGAGGACCACACCGACTTCACCACGCGGTGGTTGAAGAAGATGTGAGAGTCAATGGAGGACACTCGTGCTGCGTCGTTGATATATTCGAAGAGGGCATGACCATTGGGCATGGTTTCCTCACGAGGATAGGGATACCACGGGAACCCGTACGTGTGGATATCGGAGTCTGCCCGGACTCCAGGGTAGCGAAAGAGGTCCCATGTGCCCCCGGGCACGGGCCTGGCTTCAAGAATAACATAGGAGTGATGTGGGAGCGTGGTCTGTACGCGGTATGCGGCATTGATGCCTGCGATACCGGCACCAATTATAACGATGTCATAGTAGTTTGCGGGTCCCATGCTCGAAGTGGACTAGTCGTTAAAGTTAGATAGTTTATTTTATTGTGTTCTCGGACTGAGAGGTTGTCTCTAGGTGGTGAGATTAGTTGTCGGGTAAATTGGATCAGTTGGACATGATCAGCCCACACAAGTCAGGGCGTGTTGGTCCCCTTTCATAAATTGTGTTGCCAACATGCATGTTCCTGTCATCTGCAGGGTTCGCTTAATGCGCTTGTGGAACCGGTGATTGCAATCCGATCACGCACAGGTTTCAATCTCACTGCATATGAGGGATCAGCTCGCCAGGTCCCATATGATACCCACTGCAGAAAATGGCTGAGGCGCACATCAATAATCATCGTAGCATGAGAACAGGTGTTGCGAAAGAATCATAAACAAACCAAAACAAAATAAATAATATTAATATTGAAAGTCCATGGACTTGTACCCATCAGCCATCATGTCAGCCACGTATGGTGACCAACCCCAAATGCCACACCACCATAATTAACGCAGCCGCAGCAGACGAAACTCCTGTCAACAAAACCACCCCATCATACCTCCCAGCCCCAAACCGGCCCTTGACAGCCGGTCCAGAAATCAGCGCTGCACTGACAGGACTCACCAGAATATTACCCACTCCCTGAAGAAAGACAAAGATAGTATACGTTGCGAAAACAGTCGACGGGTCATTACTAATGGCGCGGCCCATAGCTACACGCATCGTGGAGAAGCCGAAAGCAAAGAACCCGTAGAGGAGGCTGAAGAGCACGAGGAAGACCATGGACGTGGCCATTCCCCAGAATATGAGAGCCGCTGCGGCAGCAGCGAAACAGCAGACGATGGCGAGAACGCTGACGGATAGGTTGAGGTCGGAGAGGTACCCGAATGCGAACTGGCCGACAACTTGCGCGATGGACATTACGGCGATAAGAAGGGCTCCGTTGCGAGAAGAAAGGCTGAGCGAGGCCGCGAAGGTGGGAAGGAAGACAGAGGGGAAGAAGAAACCAATGCCTTGGACCAGTGTTGCAGACGCGTAGACCCAAAAGAGGGGGCGTTTCAGGAAGCCCCAGTGTGAGCGGGCGATGATCGCGCTGTCGGAGGGTGGGAGACGGCCTCTGAATAAGGGGATCAGGGGTGCGGTGAGAATCGCCATGCCGACCGCACTTGCGCGGAGTGTAGTTTTGTGTCCGTATTTGTCGAGAAGGGTCTGGATCAGGAAGGGCATTACAGCGCCTGTCATGCCCGACGAGGCTGAAATGAGACCAAATGCCATTCCCTTTCGCGCGACCCACCATTCATTGACCATGCTGATGATGGGGTAGGACAGGGTGACGAATCCTAGACCGTAGAGGAGGCCCTGGGTGGCAATGAGTCCATTGACGGTGGAGACGAACGAAGCTCCGAGGAGACCAAACACACAGAGCGGCCATCCCATCCAGATCTGGTGTCGTTGGTGCCTGGGAAACCTCTTGGTCACCATGGCGGACAACGGGGCACCTAGGTAGTACAGCGCTTGTGCTAAGGTTCCGATGAGGGCGATATTCGATCTGTCATTTGTGAAGTCTGACTGCCTTTCGTAAAAGCTCTGGAATACGCCGAAAGACATGGGGAAACCTGGAATAGATCAGCGTCTGAGTGGCGAAGCCTGTGAGATGAGGTTTACCCCAGAATAAAGCCTCGAACACAACCCCTGCGATAAGCACAGTCCAGGCAGGCCGTCCACCGTCGGTCGGATCTAATTCTTGGACCGAGGTGGATGCCGGAAGGGCTTCATTGTCAAGGCGGTGCAGGGAAGACTGAAGCTCAATTGCAGAGACCGGCTCTTCGGAAGTCATCGTGTAGACTCAACTGGGGAAGCGTCCCTGCCAAATAACCTGGCTCGGATTAAGAAGAGAAGATGAATGAGTTATCAACGTTGACAAAGTGAGTATGCCGCACAAAAGACCCCGCTGATGTAAAGTGCATGCATTGGTCTGCTGTCGACGTACACCCCACCTTACCATAAAATGATATGTAGCATCGGCGAGAAGAACCGGGCCACACGGCACGTACACGGCCAACTAGTTGCCCGCCTCGGCCCCACCCACGCCCTTCGCACGACGACGAAAAAATAAAAGTGGATAGATAAGTCAGTAAAGCACGTTATTCAGCCCAAAAACGGCCTGTCATAACCAAGTTCAAGAACACGTCTCCTTGATTCCCGTCTCCATCCAACACACCAGAAAACGGTGGATCCAGAGAAAATTCTACCGACGTATCGAGTGGAATAGAAGGTGCCTGTGATGCCGTAGGTAGCTGGGTCAGATTTCAGTAGACGCAAAAAGCGGTCCCCTGTTGGTAGCGGGCATCTCGGGTCCTCCTAGGACAGCATTACTAGAGTTGCAGCGAGTCTGAAGTTCGAGTCTGGGACTCGAGTCTTCTAGATATTCTGGTCTGATGGACATCTTAGAATGGATTGTGGTTTTGTGTATATGTTGCCTTAGATGCAGCACATGGTATGATTTAGTAGTCAGTACCGAAGATAGAAAACAGGTCTGCAGTGGGGTTGCCAGTGGCTGTGGGAAAAATATCGATGATTACAAACTATTCATAACTAGTGAGAACAACTTGATGCATCTTGTGGCTATTCACAGAGGCTAATACATGGATATCCATGTTATCTTACTATTTAATATCTCATACATTCAGACATACAAGAACAGCTATAGCATTCACAAATAGATAATACACCCTAAAATAAGATAATACAATCACCAACCACTCCATAATACACCACAATCGTCCCCCTACACTAAGCACTGCACGCGCAAGTATACGCAGGAGGGATGGGGCTACCTTTCTTCTCCCCACCAGCCGCAGCACCACCCTTCCACACCTTCGGCCCAGGCAGGGTATAAGAAGTCGGATGCACATAGATGTTATAACTGATATTCTCATCCTCCGGCTTGTACACCCCGGGGATCTTCACCGTCGGTGAGGGCTTCCCAGCACCATTGCCACCGACCTCGATCTGGGCGCAGGTGAAGTAGAACTCGGCGTTGCCGGAGAAGCCGCGGTGGAGGGGGATGTGCTCGACGCGGACGAGGTACTGGCCGGCGGGGGTGTCGGCGGGGATCTTGAACGACGCTTGGTTCTTGTCCCAGGTGCACCAGTCGGTGTCTTCGAGACCCTTCTGCGAGATGTCGTTGCACAGGCCTTCTTGGTGCACTTTGAACCAGTCGCCTGAGCCGTCGTATTGCTTGACGTCGCCGGGGGCTTTGGACATGTAGATCTGGAGGGGGCCGGGATGTTTCATGGTGGCGCCTGGATTGTCAGTTTTTTTTTTTTCTTTCATTAAGTAAAGAGCCATGATGTGAACATACCAAAAGCCAGCTCAAAACCAAGTTCAGCACCGGGCTGAACCTTGTAGACGCCAGTGCTGCCAGCAGCAGCCATGGAGTCCTTGTTGCAACGGAAGTCATCGCCGAGAATCTCGCCCGCAAGGGTAGGCTCATATCCATTGCTGTTGCGACGAATATACTCAAAATCGTTGGTCTTCTTGCCGTCGACGATGAGTTTCGAGAAGACGTAGTGGCCGGAGACGAGCGGGAGACCGGTGGCGGTCAACAAGGCGGAAACGCCCATGGTCGTAGAGAACTTCATGTTGTCGGTTGTGAGGTGTGGATAGGATGAGGCGTGGTGTTTGATAGAGCTGCTATACTCGAGTTTGGGGAGGGGGAGGGCTTATATACTGTATGTTGGACGGCTTTGCGACCATTGCGCTTTCGGTCTGCCTGGCCTAGAACTGACCCGAGACATGATGAAACTCGACACGAGGAGAAGAGTGGCATGCCCCTACCTCCAAGCTATCAAAACCGTTCAGGCCCGCAAGTAAAATGGAGCATATCACTTCCTGGCCAGACCGAACAGCCGGTACTCGTTATCGACCGAGGTCCACTACCGACGTATTTGGTAGAGCTATGCAAACAGACAAATCTAAGTGAAACGGCTTTGATATAGCGCGACTGCGAACGAGCTAGGTGACTACCTTGACCAGGCCATGGCAAGGCAGTTGGGATATCGTCAACTGCCGGGAAAAGGTGAAAATAAACAGCCCTATACTGTAGTGACCACTAGCGTTGAAAGTTAAACTTGGTTCCGGTGAAGCACAGTCCCACTTCCTCCTGATGCCAAGCCGTCATCCTGGTTTCAACCACAGCCCCGTGTTTCAAGCCGAAACTGTAGACGATCCTCCTCCTATAGTTGTATGGTTAAAGCCGTAGATCCTGCGGGTATTTGTCGGGTATTAGGATAAATAGATGGATCCTGAAGAGGCACCTGGATACTAGTCACGGCTGGTTTTTGGATTATATTAGAATGTTTGACACCAAAAACTCACTCCAATTTTAAGTGTGAAGGCTCAAGATCATAAATACCTTAGAATAATCGATGGGACTCGCCCCGGAAGTGGATTATCCTCCTATCCAGTCACTCTTTGCCATTTGCTTATCTATATGAATGCCCCTGAATAAGGGCTGGACTACTGGACACACTAGGCTGTCAACAATAGGTGCTGAGGCTTTCTCAAGGTTTTGTGACACGGTCATTCGGATTTAGGCTTCTTTATCTTTTTACCAGGTCACAGTTGCAATTGATTAACCTTTCACCAAGTCTACTCATCTTAAGCATGTGACTTGGGGACTGAGTGTATGTTCACCCGTTGGGTTGCTTTTGAGAAAATAATTAGATATAATAGTATTATATTCCATTGCTTGAATGAAGGAAAGAATTCCTGATCAAATCGCTTAAACATGGTGGTACCAAACACCTGAGTCACTATGAAGGATGGAGAATGTAGGTCTATAGCTAACATATTTCTCTTCTGTAGATGCCTACATAGACACAATGACTCTACGCTTGTGCCCTGGCATATGCCAAAACTATTGCAGTGTCAGTGCCGAGTACAGAGGGGATGGTGAGACTTTCTTTGCGTCTGCTGGAAGATATTGAAAAGAAGACGCAACAGGAGCTTTGCTTTCTTCTAGTGTAGGTAGATGGACGACCTCAGAGCGAGCGCCGTTCTCTTTCAACAACTGGATAAACTCCTTGTTGTCAGTTTTGTAATGTCTCCATCACTGAGCAAAATCGCTTTTGTATTGACTTCTGCGCCTTTCTCCAGAAGTAGCTGTACAGTCTGATTGTGACCTCCTCTGGTGGCAGCCACGAGAGCAGTGCCAAAGGGCCCCACTGCATTAATGTATGCTCCGTTCTCCAGAAACAGCTGTACAATCTCCCTATGACCTTCTTCAGAGGCACGCTGAATAGCAGTCCCAAATTCACTCATTATACTGGTATCTGCATTTTTCTGTAGAAGTAGCTGTACAATACTCTTGTGACCATCTACGGAGGCAGCTAGGAGAGCACTACCAAGCAACTCTGCCACTGCATCAATGTTTGCGCCATTCTCCAGCAGTAGCTGTACAATTTCCCTACGCCCTGCTCTAGAGGCCACATGAAGAGGTGCCAATAAGTACTTGGGTCGTACATTGACATCCGCGCCTCTCTTCGGGAGTAGCTCTGCAATCTCTCTATGACCTTCGTCACAAGCGAGGTAGAGAGCTACACTTAGATATTCTGTATGTGCATTGTCATTTGCGTCATTGTATAACGATATCTCCGCTATATTGAAGAAACCTGCAAAGGATGCACAGTACAATGGCTGTAGACTCTGGTCTTCAAAATGCCAGAATAGTGTACCCCGATTATAGAATGTCATTGGAATCAATTCAACCCAAGCTGCCGGTTTGCGCTGGGGAAATAATTCCAACATCTTTGTTTGCACTTCTTTTTCACTCTCCCCAGGCTTTGCGTGATCATCCAGTATCGTGTAGAGTACAGCGCAAGTAGGAATTCAGACGTGATATTGTCAATTGAACTCCGGTCATCTAGAAATGACAGATCTTCCAAGCAGACCAGTGTGACTGTCTCTAGTGCATTCGTCATATTGAATTGCCCTTGCCATATATCCTGTCGTTCAGGCTTGATGAGGAATTCCCTCGCTGTCAAATGGATAAATGACAGTTTTGAGTTGTAGACACTAATAAACAAGCCACATAGGTTTTTGACGATGGTCTTAAATGCATTTTGAGGCCACAGATGCGACATTAGGTCGGCGTGCGAATCAAACCGATGCTTATTCAAAGCTATTGTCAAAGTTATGTTTGCTTCAATCAGAGTGAGGGGACGCGCTGCACCCAGGACGATTTAGAGGAGAGTTTCCGTTTTTTTACGGTCTGCGCTTCGCTTCAAAATCGTATCGTATGCGTCTGATATCCTGGCAGGTATACAGGACAGGAGGGCTTCCACATCAGATCTTCTGCTATACTCACTTGGGCTCTCTAAGATGATGTCAAATGTGAGATATAGCCAGAGGTATGTTCGATTTGCATGGCTTTCAATCGTTCCGAAATTTTCTTGCGGTCATTATTATGAAATTCGCTCGCAAGGTTATTCACTTGAGCATTGATGACTAGATTGATATCTTCGCTGATCTGGGGCGAATATTCATCACCGTCAATGCGCATATACGCACTTGTCCCGGAAAAGCATTTGAAAGATGACTCCAGGCTGGCGTATGGACGACTAGTAATGGAAAACTTGATGTTCGAATGTCCATTGGTTGATTTCGTGGGTTGCCAATAGTACTCGTTCAGCTCGTCAGTCAATTGCCGCCAGCTGGCTTCACTCCATTCGTCGAGGGCATCAAGCACACAGACAGTTTCCTCAGCCTCCAATGAGCAGTCTAGAAAAACTCTCCACAACTCATAAAATTTCGAAGTAAGGTGTTTTCCATACTTCCTGTGACTTGGAATTGCATGGTGGATAAGCTTTCTGGTTAGATCATTGCTAAAAATCTAGTGAAGTATCACACACAAGGCATCTGTGGCTTTCATTTGTCCTTCACATTCATCTTTGAAAAAGAAGTAACACACTGTCGATGTTGTGCTAGATGTGAAAAGCCGCCGCTCGTCAATCATAGCTCGCGACAAGACTGACTTGCCACACACAGGATCAGCGGTAAGCCACAAGAGACTGGAAGTATTACTCTTTCGCCATCCGCAAAATTTCAAGTCATCAAAGAACCATTTGCATGTTCCATCTACCTTCGTCGGATTGAAATTTTTGCCGCTGGCTCCAAGAAGCCCCCAACGCTGATATATCATTTACCGGTCATGATCTACCCACCTCACGCAATCGCTGACTGTCGGTCTTGCCCGTAGGTGTGACCCGAATGATGTCAATTGGGACGTATGCACTGGACACCATGTAAGCTGGAACTATTTATAGTGAGAACTCCATCGAGCCTCATGGTATAGATTTCGTGGACTGTGAGGCAGTAGATTATAGTGACCCCTTCATTAATCTATGTACACAGCTATGACAATCACCTGGCAGGGTCTACAATACACTCCCATTCCAGCTCACTAGGCTCCTTCCAATAGTCCGTCCCACTTGGAACAAACCCAAGCTTCTTCAAAACCTTTCCACTCCTCTCGTTTTCCCTCTCCGTCTCAGCAATAAACCGTAACACCCCCCTCTCACGGACTGCCCATTGCATGACTGCTTTTGCAGCCTCCTGACCCACACCTGTTCCCCACACCTGAGGCGAGAAACCATACCGGAGCTCAACCATTTCCCGCCAGGAGGGCAAGGCTGGATCTCCTGGCTCCCGCGCCGGCATGGAGGTTGTTGTTGCGTCACGTACTCCTGCGTAGCCCACCCATTCGATATTCTCGAAATTAACATTACCCGGGCCAGCAAGCCGCACCAGGTCTTGGCCGCGGACGATCGTCGGAACATTGCTATCATTCTGCATGCGTGGATCGGATCCGGACGGGGATGCCATGCGCCGCCCCACGGCAAAATCGCCCATGCCCCGCGGTTTCCAGCATCGTCCAATATCGCGCTGCTGTATCACCTCCAATGTCTTTGAGTCGCTCCATCTTTCGGCTGGTAGATGATGCCCGAAAGCCATTTCGCAAAATGCTACATTGGCATGGAGATCGGAGTAGAGAGCTCGGTATGAGCTCAGGGAGACTGCGATTGGTGTGGGAATTACGATCAGTCGTGGAGTAAGGAGGACAAAATCGTCGAAAGAATCTTCAGCTGAGGGACTCATTTTGCAAGATCAGTGGCGTTGAACAAAATGATAAATCTGGATCGCGGGGTATCCTATGTTTTTCTTTCTTTGTTGGTTGTGGGTCGTTTTGACTTGCTGATTTAGTGCTGTTTGATTTTGAGCTTGTCGATCGGTCAATGAACTGGGTCACACGATATTAGAAGCCGGACTAGTAGGGATGGTAAAATGTCAACATATCAGACGTCAATCCCATGGCCTTTCTTGATATTTAGACGGGTGAATTGCAGACATCTTATAGCCCCACTTTTCATTCTGCTTGGCGGCTTGGCCGATAGGATCACTATAATTCCACGTCGTTGAGTCTTTAGTTTGAGGTAATTTGGAATACCTCTACCTCAAATATATTTCATACAAAATCCAGCGATACCACATAAAACGTGTTTGTATTAACAAATACAGTGGCAGCATTGCCCCGAAAATTCGGACCGCCCCGATCTGGAGCCCTCAAGATGACTGGTCAAGATATATATATGCACCGACTGGCATGCTTTTCAACTCTTTTTTGACATGCATTGTTAGAATTTCGTTGCTTGCTTTTCTGTGCATTTTTACAATTTCAAAAATAATTGCCGGACACGTGGGATGAGAGAAGTTTGAGATCAAAGTAGTACGTACTTTGACAGTGAAATAAGAAGTGACAGAAGACAATAAGGAGAAGGGATATTAATTTGAATAAAGATTCTAGTGATATAGAACATTGCCGAGATTTGAGTGGTCTGAAAAAGGCTGATTAGAAAAGCTTTTGCTCCGAGAAGGCCTGACTACTGACATTGCAAACAGTAGTGAATATGAAGTGTCACGTACTGGGGATTACCTTAATTATAAGAAGCAACATACCAATGACATGGAAGCAGTAAGCACGCACAGCTTTGGGTAAGTGTCATACAGTGTTCAATGGTACCACACCACTGGCCTTTGCGTGATAAGCTCAGAGTCAGATGGTAGATTTCATGGAGTTATTTTTGCCAATTCACTACCACTTAAATATAGGTAATGCTATACGGCTTACATATTACAGTGATATGTGAGTAACATTGTCTCTTTCCGTAATCTGTCTCAGCTTCACCCATGTCCTGCTACAGGCAGATAGTCAGCCTACATAGTGAAGAAAGGCCTCCTTTGTTAAGAATGAGGGGTCCTGAAAGGCCTAGTGCTGTGCGGTGATATCTTTAAGTAGTCATCATAAATACCAATGGCAATAGATTTGAGTATGGAAATAGGAACAGAATAGATACAAAGAGGATCTCAATATTAGGTCTTGTACACTTCTTGCATTGTCTATCCACGCCTGATATAAGAAATCATTCATTAAGGTAACAGCATGGATTATATTAAAGATTGAACATAAGCGCCTTGCCTTTTGCCTTGTGGAAGCCTATTTCATTACCCGTCAAACTCAGATCACGACGCCATAGAAAGTAGATTAATTGGTATAACTACTTTCACCGGCCGTGATGAAGGTTTACATAACTTAATTCAAAACAATTTACCAACAGTGTTTATCCTGCTAAATGTATACATAATTTCATAATCCTCGTAGCATCCCACTACGTAGGAGAGTCTTTCTTTTGTGCCATCACCCACATAAACTCGGCATCAAAGTCCGGATCACCCTCCTCCAACTTCCCATCGCCTGCGTGCAATACCTCGACCTGTAATACATCAAAACCAGTCTCTTCCAGTATTTCCCGATTCTTATCCATGTCATAGCTACTCCAGAACATTCCATATCCCAGGAATTCGCCGTGAATTTCTTCTTCGTCCATCGTCGCAAGATTCAACACAAAGACACCCCCAGGCTTCAACCAACCATGGATCTTAACGAGCATGTCCTTGAGCGTCGCCCGCGGCAGGTGAAACAGCGTATAGAAACTGACTATCCCATGAAAACTCGCCGGCTCGAAATCCAGGACAGTCATATCGCCAGCAACCAACTTAGCCCCCGGACACCGCGCCTTGGCCATCTCGATCTGCTTGGTGGAGATGTCATTCGCGAGCACTTCGGCGCCATGGTCGAGGAGCATTTTCAAGATAGGCACCCCGGGGCCGCAGCCGAGCTCTAAGATGGAGGGTGATGGTTGCAGCTTGTCGAGGAGCATCTTGGTGTATCTCTCTCGCGGCGACTTCTGGCTGTTGACCCATTCTAGGTACCATTCTGTGATGTTGTCGTAGGCATATTCGACGATATCCCTAGTTGTGTCGGACATCTGTCCGGAGGGCCGGGAGTGAAGATTGGCGAAAAGAAGAAGTGGGGATATATGTGGAGCGCCGTTGAAACGGTCAATAGTAATTATAACTCGATGATTCTTATTCCTATGAAAAGCGTTGCAAATAGTTACGAAATTTCAAGAACCCAACAATTACATGAGAAAAAATCTCTGCACGTCAGCTGACATGCCGGCGCATTCCATGTCTTACAATCCAACATATACATCACGATAAAAAAAACAAAGCGGTGGAGGGGATGTGGGAAGATTTCTAACCGAGCCGGTGGTTGACCTGGTGGAAGGTTCGAGTGCCATGCAGTACTAAGCGGATATCCCAATATCCACAAAAGCTTTTTAAAACTTCCCTCTGCATCGGATCCGTATGATATAGACATAATGTCATTTTCTTAAACTGAACTGACCGACTCCTTTTCCCAATATGTCGCGTCTATCGGAGTGTTCTATTTGCCTTACTCGCGATGGGACCGGTATTTCATTGGGCGGATAAATCTTCCTCCAAAAGAATGTCGTGTCAACCTAATGTATCAAAATGAGACACAACCTTAAGGGTTAACATTCATTATCCTGACACGGCTTTTGACGTTGATAGGGCGATCATCTACCACTAAATAAGTTCACCCTCCTCGATCACATTGAACCCTGGTCTCATTAGAAAATATGGTGTGATCTGTATCCAAGTATGTGTTATTAGACATAAACTTTCACACGGCGAACCACTAACCATCCAGGGTGAGCAGTCCAAGTGGCGAGTCATCCATCCGACTCTAATGATGAGTGTAGCCCTAATTATCAAAACAGCATGATTGAACCGGGCTGCTGTCCTTGACATCGTTATGTCGAAGGATGGATCCAGTTTCAATATGATGAAGGATTGATTCGAGGTTTGGAAAAATATAGATATTAGCAAGACTATTCATATTTAGATTTATTGAAGGCGTGACCTTCTATAACTTTCTCTCGTATGAAATCCACGACCTGGCACTTTTCTGTACCCCAAGAAAAGCTGCAGGGTCCACTTGTACTTTTGTTAAGAATCAACATGTCGGAATGCAATACCCACAAACTAGATAGGAAAAAGAAAACAAAGAAAAAGTAAAAGTTTATGGCGCTGTACGTAGAACAAAGAACGAGAGCTAGCCCCGCCATGGGGGAAATGATCAAGGAATACTATAAGTCCATACTGGCAAGGGGTACTGCTCGTACCATGACTCGCGGATAGGCCTACCATTACATAGCCTAGCCGTACCCATGTATTTACCCCTAATAGCGTCCGCTACTAAGGCTACTAGGAGTAGGAAAGTAGAGGGACCATCAGTATGCTAACGAGTATCATACTATACCACTAGTCATCGGCTACCACCATTATACTTTTAACCGCGGTATATTAACGAAGTGAGCGCAAAGAGAGATGGCACTAGAGGCCACCCGCCATATGCAAACCAAGCAGTAAAGATCTACGGTGCTGGAGTTTGAATTGTGGGAACATTGAATGAAGGGGTCAATGACAGTCACCGGTACCAGTACTCCTCGTATCTCTGATAGCAACGGCTTTCCCGAGTATGCTGACGGGAACTAGAAACTAGAAACTGCCAGTACTTTGAAGGCCAATCCGCATTCGAACACGTCGTCCGGCTTTGTCTACTGGTAGACTGGGATGGAATACCTCTTTCAATAGTGGCAGTTGCAAGCATAATCCGGGAGTGAAGCAAGGTCATCGGCCAGAGGTTGTCAAGCTCCACAGATAAATGCCATGAGCCCTCTCCTTTATCACTCGTAATATCAATAGATTTGACGTTCGGAGCCCATGGAAATAGCCAAATTTTGCATCTAGAGTGAGCGGACTGTAATCCTTCCAACCGACTGAGCTATACAGCTATAGAACGGATCTTTGGCAAGACATAGGGTTTGTCGGCGGAAAAAAGACCGCCGTGTATACCCGCCTTCTCTAACGTAGTGGGCCGTGCTGATATTGGCCTCGGGCCGTCCCGCGATATGCCCCCAAACGCGGGAGGATTGAAGGTTACATATTGTCCCAAAATTTGTACCCATTGAACTACATAGATAGTTACATGGTTCACTTGCAAATCCCATTGTCCCAGGTTCATCTGCTGTGATCCATGGTATGTGTGCACCAGCTGGATATCTAGATCATCCTGCATGATTCAATGGAGGATATCTCTTATTGCTATATTTGGTGAAAAGTCAAATTATAAATAAATGCAATATTTCAATTTAGTGACCGTGACGTAGCATACAGTATTGCTAAGAGAAAAATAATTAATCTGTCCACCAAGAGAAATGTTACCAAAAGCTGCAGGAGGGGCAGCCCGGCTCCAAGATTTGTTAAATAGCACTTTGGATAACCCGCAAAATTTTCATCTTGTCAACAAAGCGAAGTGTAAGATCCCTCCGGGCACTGCCATCAGAAGGAGTCTGGTATTGATCTGGCCTGCGTGCTCGGTATAAGGTTCAAAAGGGCCCACTTATAGACTGAGGAATTTTAATGCCGCTATGAAGCTTTTGGACACGGTGGGATGCTCGGCCGCGAGCAACAAGCTTTCCCAGGTGATAATCTCAATCATACATACCCCAAGACTGCACACGTCATGAGCCATGCAGTATTCCATTTCTGCCTCAACTTGCTGACGCTCGGGATGCTGATCAATCTTTTGCCGCAACGTGGTCTCGCCTCGATAGCTGGTGACACTCGGGTCAACATGACGAGCATACTTCCAGTTGGTGAGGAAGACCCCCGGGGTGTTTCCACCCATGGCACCAACCGTGGTCTCAATTTGAAGAAGAAGGATATTCTCGGGCCTGATATTCTTGTGCACCAGGCGGAGGGTCATTGTCTGGAGAACTGGGGTCGCAAGCTGGCTGCAAAGGCTGACGCGGAACTTAAGTGTGGGCTTGGTTTGATTGGTTCTGATATATTTTTTAAGACTGTCCGGGTAGTGGCCTGGAAGCGGGCAGGCGAAGATAAGCAGAAACGCACTACCTTGGGTGTCTTCTGTAAAGCCGACTAACTGCAAAATGCTCTCATGTTTCTGCGATTCGTGTAGCCTCTCGGCTAAAAATTTGGACGTTTTGCTTGGTCGCTTCCCTATTTACGGTGACCCTGGCGTTGGTATGCTTTTCTTTCGAATAAGAACCATTTACGTGTGTTCGAAATGACATTTAAAGAATTGGCCAATCGCCCCTTGCTAAAAAAGGCATTACGATTCGAGTTGAAGGTTCTATTCTCGGACTGAAGCAATCGGAACCCATTATATGAGAGAAATAATTGTGAATCCTCCTTGTCAACTTTGCGGACAGCCATCACGATTTGCTGGAATCTCTCCACTGCGTCGGAGACGGCGTTGGCGCCACCCAAGTCAAGCAGCTTATCTCTAGCTTTATGGCGGGCCGGTGTTGCTGTCACCGACGAATTGCGGATCATCTTCTCGATGAGGTAGTCGACTTGTTTTATAAAAGTTCGTAATGCGTTTCCAGCCACGCTCTAGGAACCTCTTGTGTTTCCGGTCTACCGTCGGGCTTTTCAAGGCGCGCTGGGCCAGCTTAATGTCGAGTTCTAGCTGGAATTCTCCGAATTTAAGATCGAAAATTTGGAACTCTCGCAACATGGGATTCAATTTCTTCTCGCTCTCGGTCCGGTTGTAGATTCGCTGGCCGTAAACAAAGAGGCAGACGTCAGGGCTAGACCAGCTATCTCCATCGTGGATTCTAGACTGTACATCTCAAAATGTCAAACAAGAAAAAGATTACTTGGATAGTATGATCATGGCTCGAGAGAGAACTGCCACACTTGGGGGTGTCATGTAATTCCATACCTTGAGTATTTCGCGTGTATATATCAACGATGAGAGAAAGGATAATTAGATCTAAGAATACAATTCTTCGCTCCACCGTGACACCATGTGGTAAGCTCTGTGTTGCTATCTCCTCATTTTCTTTTGTCACTTGAACGCGTCGGGCCCTATCCAGGAGGTTGCTTTTAAGATTCCTTTTGCTGATTTAGCCCCAACAAGCTCAATGGTATTTTGTGCCACAAGACAATCGATATAATACACAAAGACTGAGTTAGTTTCCAAGCCCTGCTTCAATCAAGCAAACTCGAAGCTCCAATATCAACCACCTGTCTGGATCTGACAAAGCCAGAATTCTCTGATTCTGAATGTGTCAGCATCAGTAGAAACTGGCACCATGAAACACCCGCTCATGATATTCTGAAAGTCTTACGGAGAAATATCAGTCTGAAATTAGAGCCTGGTTGCTTGATAACCCTGCGTTTGTGGATTGAGAGATATATCCGGGAATATTTTGATTTTGGTGCAGTGGCTCGTGACAATTGAAATCTCTCAACATCGATTTTTGAAAAGATTCAGGCGTTGGATTTACTAGAGTAATTGATAACCACTAGCAGACGGAAGATCTGATATGACTAGTTGACCACTTGGATGGTAACTTCCTAGATAGCCTCGATGTTAACTCGAAATGCCCTTTTTTGGGATGTCAGCGTGTCTACCGTTGTGATTAGTACAGGTAAGGCCAACTCAATCCAATTGAAACCGGCTAATCGAAATAACGTATACATAATCCATCCATTAGAATGAATTGGTACATACGACCATAGGGTGTGGAGAACAGGGCTTCCCGTCCGCTCAGCCGTACTTAAGCCACACGCCGGCCGGTTAGTAGTATGGTGGGTGACCACATGCGAATCCCGGCTGTTGTATGTTTTGCTTTTTCATTTTTTTTTTTTCTTAATTTGCCGAGTCCGGCCCACTCTGTCTTCGGGCTGTTTATCTCTTTACCTGAAGCTAATCTGAATGGCTTGAATAGCCTGAACAGTCTGAACCCCTTTGTCAAGACCCTAGGATCCCTTCGAGCTTCTGCTGTACTAGTGTTGGTGGCTTGGGTTATGAAGACTGTCCTGTAGTCTTCCTATCAGCTATCAACGATGGGGCTCGACAAACCTGAGGCCTCACACAGTGGCCGTGCTAACTGTATCAATCGACGAGTAAACCAATGGTCCGAAGATACCAATAAGCGAGAAGAGAAGTAAGGTGTAGCAAGTATGTATACTCGATACTTGGTAGAGTGTGAACGAGTAGAAACTAGACTAAATGTAGAATTGGGTGGCTGGTGGTGTCTATTTTAGTCTCAGCTTGGCTTCTTCCAACCTCGTGTCCTTCTCCAGGCCTTCTTAGCATATAAAATGAAAAATAATCTTCTTAGAAGACCGATCGCATCAGAATCATACTTCAATTTTAGACGACTCATGATCCATTCGTGTGAAATTGACAGTGATGGTAGCAGAATATTAAGAGAAATCCTGTGGTAGACCGCCAAACGCAAATCGAGAAAGATCCGCGAACTCTTCAAAGATCCCGCCAGGGTCCTCAGGCGCGGCCATGGGAGCTTCCAGGCCTTGGAATACGTCCCCAGCATAAGAATCCCACAGCGCAAGCCTTGGTGACAGTGAATTCGGAAATGGAAACAAGTCGCAGAAGCTGAAAATATCATACCCTTCGCCAAGCAAGACCTTTTCTTGCGATTCACAGGTTGTTGTCGTGTTTCGGACACGACCGCTTTTGCCTGAAATTCGGACTCTGTTGATTGCGTTCAATACCACCGTTGACCCGGGAATTCTTGCTTGAACCTGCTCCAAGGACGACACAATCATGTCAAGCTCTTCCGAACAGTGGCTATTCGATTCCAGTGAGCATTCGGCGGCGTTGTATAGAAGCTGCGGCATTGCAGCTACTGTTAAAAACCAATTTTGTATACCAAGGAGATAACTGAGGTCGTCCCTGCAGTCAATCTCATTGTATAAGCGGGCAATGCATGAAGAGGCAACCAGAGATACAATGTTCGGGACAGATGTTATATCTTGGTCGTTGAACAGGTCAAAGTATAATATAATGGTGGCAAAATACACAATGTGTAATTCAAAAACATCCCGTCGGTATTTTCGAAAACCATTGCGGTCAAAAATTTGAATAGTTGTGGGAAGATTGCGGATCCAATCTTTCAGTGAAAGGAGGATGTCTATATGCTGTCATGGCGGCAGAAGCAAGTATGAAAATATGTTTAAAAAATATACTTATGCTAAATGACTCAAGGCGCACATACCTGTGTTTGCACATCTTTAGGAGACCGCCATCGGAGGTCTAATATACTACCCAGAATGCTAGATATCTTGGCCAGCTGGATGAAAACCAAGGATTGAATGCCGGGAGACTCGAAATCTTCTCCCGTCAGGGGTCGAACATCGAACTCGTTTTCTTTGATACATGTAGGCCGTCCAAATGCACCTGACAAAAACTTATCTTGAACCTTGATGTTATTAGTACGAGCAAGTTGGATTCGAGGGATACGCACGAAAAGGCACCATGCAATCCTGCGTGCAATTCCTGGACTAGCAAAACCAACACACATTTCCTCGCGGTGCAGACCCATTTGCTGCAACAGTCTCATTGCTATACCCAACCAATGCCACGCGCAATCAACAGTCAATAACACAGGGCCTGCAATGTTGCGTGTTGACAAAAGACACACAACCTTCAGAACGGTAATAGGGTCCTGCTCGTGGTTGACGTGGATTAGGGTCTTGGCGTTGTAATAGTATTTCTCATTCTCAGACAGAATATCCGGTCCTTTGGGATGCCGCAGCATAGTTCCCACCATGCAAATCACTTGCTGAAGAGCTAGCGAAGGCTTGCTGGAAGATAAATCGGCATGATTAACAACGGGAAATTGATGGAAAAGGTGTTGGAAGTAGGCGTCGACATATGCATTTAATAAAATTTCCGGTGGTGATGACGTGGGATCCACTACGGTCAATATCTCCTGGTTCCGGCTATTTGAGATGGCTGTGATCCGCAGATAATTCGGGGGAATGCTAGGAGCATTATGCAACATGCAGGTCATTGCACCCAGGTACTGTTTATGTGACACTTCAGGTGCTGGAACGGCAGCCACTTCGTCCTGTTGCTCGCGAACGGTGGATGTTTTTGGAGTCGCTGGCCTTGCAAACCTCTGAGGAGCTGCTCTGCTAGGTCTAGGAGACCCGGGCACTTGCTTTGTGTATCGCTCTTTGACAGTCATTCTTCGGCTGGGGCGAGGTCTTGGAAATGGTCAGCAATCCCGTAGGTATCTCACCACTTTATGATCCCTACTGGCAGGCCAATCCATGTTTATAACAATTCGAACAAGTGCCTTGTAATCGAGTCTGCAGATCACACTTGACCTTGCGTGCGTGACACTGGCAGCATACGATCCTTGCCCGATCACGAACCTCGTGAAGAGATTGACCGGCAGTGGCCATTATGATCAGAGCTATGGTTTTATGCAAATAGAAAAGGACATTCGGAACATTTGTAGCTAAATATGAACGCAAAGGTCAATAAATGATTTTGTAACACCGTACTTTGGCTAGAGTATATTACCAATATTTGATGGCGAACTGAGGGGTTGAAATGACGCTATGATGCTCCGATACTCGGTGGTTGCAACACCAAGGTGACCAGGTCGCAAGGTAAAACACAAGGACATGTAGATTTGTATTCAATCATGGGCAAGCTGATGATTGTTTACGCGTACAGGGTACGGAGAACCTGGCCACGCAATTATTGATCGGTATTATTGATCCGCCAATTCGCCAGTCCTGAAGAACTTCTGCGGATCAATTCTCACAGAATGAAGCGAACCGTTGGGTGGACCTACCATGGGGATGAGTAATGTTTCTACCAACATTACGTGCGGCTAGTTAGTTCCTGTGGACTGTGTTGAACCTGGAGAAACGTGCATAGGCTAGTGACCACGCTGATTATTTCCCCAATGGGTTACTTTGCGAGGTCGGGGAAAGGCCCGGGAGCAGCTCCGCCACCACCGTGCCGCATGTTCCTGCAACGCCCTAACTTCATGATTACAAACTCACTTAGTACAGTAGTCGACTGACTCGCTATGATCGGCAGCCTCCGCGTTCTCCTTGGTATCGCCCAATTCGTGTCTGGCATTTGACGACTGTTGCTCAGGACCTTTCAATGGCAGCCGGTGTGATCAAGCTCCATACTCACGTCGTGGCCTTCGTATTCCAAACAGAGAATAGTTTCCGTGGTGGATTCAATTTCCTTGTAGCCAAGTGTCTATTGAATCTGTAGTGTTTGCATCATCACTGTTTGCGATACCAAGACAACAAGACAATCCTTGGAAGATTAGGTGACGAACCTCTTCAATGAAGAAGAAGATTGTTCACTTGGCTAGATTCTGGGATTGGAGGACACAGAGAGGAGAACAACAGCCGACGACAGCCGAACAGCACCAAGCTGGACCCGCCCCAAGACCCAGGTCAGCCAACGAGAGATTAGTTGACATTACCACCATTTAGATCGACCTATACGGAGTACAACACGCTGCTTCTTAGATGATTGCTGGCTCAAATTCTTCGACTACGTACGTATAATATGTATGGATGGATGGATGGATGGATGGATGATTCCATTTATCCCGACCCCTCGCCGAAGCAATATGCAGGCTACAACAACTATATATATCTGCGTATGTACAAATAGAGTGTCCCACTTCCTGAAAACAAACTTAATATTCTATCACGAATCCTCAATGACTAATTATGTACTTAGAGCTTACTTTCGCGGAATAGATTCTCGACCTCTGCAAATATATAGTAGAATTCCAAACTCCGCGGGTTGAGCAGGGTCCCGGATGGCTTAACGCGTCTACCAGAAACAATGTGCTTCACAGGCAGCTCAACCTTTTTCAAATTGACCGTGGTCTGGCGGGTATAACTTGTAATTAATTCATGTGTGCAGCATCGCGTGCAGAAAGGACCGGGTTACATAATAGAATTTCAGGTGTCTCAAAAATGAACATTGGAATATGGCGGGGACTTAAATGTTCTCAAATAGCGCTCTTGACGCGGGATATTAGTCCCGGCGTCAAAGGAGAGCTAGGCTTCATGAGCAAAAATAATATAACTCGCTCATCGGCATCGGTTGGTCTTCGCTGACCGACACAGAGCGAGTCGGCAATCTCGCCAGTGAACCCGGCTTCTATTACCCTGTAGATCTCAAATGATCCGAAGCGCACACCTGAGGGACTCAGAACGCCGCCAGCGCGGCCATGGAATAGAAGCTGTTTGGTGGGGGGGCAGATTGACACGAAGTCTCCATGGTTCCAGACGTCTACAAAAAGTCAGCGTTCACGCGTTTAACCGTGTGATTTAGAAAAGAACAGAGAAATAGGCAACTGGGAGCCATACTGTCGAATCTCGCAAAATATGCGTCGTGGTATTTCTTCCCGCTATCATCTCCCCAAAAATGCGTGGGCAGGTTTGGAAAGGCTGCAGTGGCCACTAGTTCCCCTGGAGCACCATCTTTCACTGGGACTCCCTGGACGCCCTCAACCCCTTCGACGGCGGATTCATACACATCCACGGGGACGCCTAGGCTGTATCCAGCGCATCCTCCAACATACACTGGGGCCAGCGGATTGCTTATCCCAAAACAACCCGCGATATCGGTGCCGCCAGCAATGTTGTTGAGACGGGTACATGGTGGGAATGCGACGTCGTAGAACCACTCAAATAACTCGTCCCGTAATACTGAGCCGGTGCTCGACACTATCTGCAGGGAGCTTAGGTCTACAAGCTCTCGTGGTTTGAAATCTGCTCGCTGGAGTTCATCGAGCCACCGTGGCGATATTCCAAGATGTGTTACCCTGGTCTAGTGATTAGAAAACTCTTATGTGGTAATAACCGGTAGGAAAAAGCTCACCTTTCCTGCGCTGTCAGCCTGACCAAAGCTGTAGCATCCGGCAAGAATGGGCTGCCATCGTAGAGGATCACTCGTGATCCGAAAATCAGCGCCTGGACTCCAAGTAGATACATAATCCAGGCAGTGGTTGTGTACTGCAGTGTAACACTCTATGGGCCTAATTCCATGTGTAACTCGCCTTCTTTGCGCCCATTCAAGAGCATCCCGCCAACGGAATGAACGATGCATTTTGGCGGACCCGTCGTACCGGATGAGTATACTACCAGACAAGGATCTCTAAAGTCAACCCGTTCAAACTCAAGGGCGTCGTTGATCGGTCTGACTTTCTCGAGATAGCTAGACAGTAGGCAGGCGTTTGGAACCTGGCTGACATCCGCTGGCTGTGACGTAAACCGCGGGAGTGATACAACCCCCTCAAACTCGGGAATTGACTGCATGCCCTGGGCAATGTTAGTCATTTTGGCGCGTAGGTCGATTGCCTTCCCATTATAGACTGCCCAGTCATCCATAAAGAGCCAGCGAGGCTTGGTCTGGAGTATCCGGTCCAAAATTCCCTTCAAGCCTAGATTGCTCGACATCGATGTGAAGATGGCTCCGAGTGCGGCCGACGCAAGGAATATGAGTAGCGTGTCGATGCTGTTAGCCGTGCACACCGCGATACGATCGCCGCGGCGGACCCCATCAGCTCGCATAGCCTGTATCAGCACACCAACCCTTCGCCTCAACTTCCGGGGCACAGGAGTCAACGCCATCGCTAAATGTGCGCTGGAAGTGTCTTCGATCGTGGAAATCACTAGTCACAACAAGTTTAAATGAGGTAAGAAATGGTCTCCTCTAGACTATATACTTACCATGTAACTAACTAGTTAATTACTTAGTTAACGTATTTCACAAACGAGCGGCGTATTCCAAACCCCATACTAAATGCGATATTTCCTAACTCCCCAGAGAGGCTAGATATCACCTATAAAAGGTTAGCCTATAAGGAAAAGCCCTATATACCACCGTTTTCGAGATATCAAGTTGTAACTTATCGCATTTACTATGTGTTTTGGGCTGCGCCGCTCGTTTGTGTGCCCCCTCGTATGCGAAATAGTTAGTTAGATGAGGGTTGATGCCTGATCTCCAAAGCACAAATATCAAACATCCAGATATCCAAACAAAAACCAACCTTTCTTCAAGAATTTGCTTTCGACACGATGGAAGTCACTTTCAAGTCTAACCAAGTGCCATTTCAAAGATACTTGTCCTTCTGAATATACCGGATTTTAGGCCGCGGTGACGATTTATCCGATTGTGGTGCCGCTTAATGAGAGCGCTCAGGGATATTGTGTTTATTGGTCACGTCAATTTCGAGGACGACTGTACTTGATGTTGCTCGATGGTCAAGCGAAAGGCTTTCTCCTGGCCTAGACACCTTGAAACTGTAGGATATGTTTTCTATGAAAATAGGATCGGAGTGCTATTGAATGATTGCAATCGTGAGAGACAGCGGTGAAAAGGGCATCAAACACAAACCCCGCTTGTTCTAAGAGAAAATACGCCTACCCTATAGAGCTGTGCATACGGCCAGATAATCAGTGGAAGAATTGCCGATGAAATAATTTTTGTATCAAAAACAATTGAGAAGAAAATTAACAGAGATGGGAATGACAACTGATGACTTCTGGAATCTAGGAATGACAGCCGATGAGAGCCGAGCGACACCGGGCCCGCCGAGCCTAAGACCCTGGTTCGCAGTGCTACTTATTCTATTGATCAAGATTGGAGGGGAAATTATTGGTCTTTTTCTTTCTTGGTTGGGGCCGAAATGGCCTGGGGATGTGGAGAATCCTTCGGCTGCATCTGGAGAGAGTCAAGACAATGGACTGAATGCATATTTTCGGCATCTCAGGCTGGGACGAATCTGGCTCCCCTTCTCCCCGCATGATGGTAAACACACGAACATGGTACTATACAATATGCATCGCGAATCGTTTTTGCTCGTCACGTTGAAACCGAGGCACATGAGTTCCTTTTAACTCACGTTGCGCCCCGACTCTGATGCTCATCCTCACGTCTCTCCATCTAATTTCGCCATGAACGGCCACGTCACTACCGAGTCGAAGTCGCACTTCGATGTAATAATCGTTGGTGCAGGCATATCCGGCATCAACTCCGCCTATCACATCCAAGACCAGCTGCCTGGCTTCAGCTATGCGATCCTCGAAGCTCGCCAGGACCTAGGTGGCACTTGGGACTTGTTCCGCTATCCCGGCATTCGCTCAGACTCAGATCTATATACCTTCGGCTTCGCCTTTAACCCCTGGAATCACAGTAACCCTATCGCAGACGGCCCCGCAATCAAACAATACATGCGCGAAACTGCCCAGAAGTATGGTATCGACGAGCATATCCTGCTCCGCCATCGTTTGTCGTCTGCCGATTGGTCCAAGGCCGACAACACCTGGTCACTGGCCGTCGATGCGGATGGTGAGCTCAAGACCATAACCGCTCGCCTTATAATCTTCGGCACCGGCTATTACGACTATAAAGAGCCCCTAAAGGCTGATATTCCTGGTCTGGAAAACTTCCAGGGCCAAATTATTCATCCGCAATTCTGGCCCGAGGACCTTGACTACAAGAACAAAAAGGTCATCATCATTGGTAGTGGTGCCACTGCGATCACACTCCTGCCGAAGATAGCCAAGGAGGCGGCGAATGTGACAATGCTACAGCGTAGTCCGACCTGGATTCAGTCAATTCCCAACACAACCAACAACCGTAGGCTATCATATCTACTGCCAACAAGCCTTTACCACAGACTACAACGCGCCATCTGGATCCAAAGACAGCGTATCTTCTTCCTCTTCTGCCAGTGCTTTCCATCCCTCTCAGCCTGGTACCTAAAGTTGGGCGTGAAATGGCATCTCCCCAGCCGCGTCGCCTACGACCCGCACTTCAAGCCCCGCTACGACCCTTGGGACCAGCGACTATGTGTCTGCCCGAATGGCGACTTCTTCGACAGCCTACGCAACGACAAGGCTAACATCTGCACTGACACCATCAAAACCGTCACTAAGAAGGGTATCACCCTCAACTCGAGCGAGACGCTCGACGCGGACATCATCATCACAGCGACCGGGCTTAAGCTACAGATCGCCGGTGGCGTCGCGCTAACAGTGGACGGGCAGAAGTTCGACATTAGCTCTAAGTACATGTGGAACGGAGTCATGCTGCAGGATCTTCCCAACGTCGCCTTCGTGATCGGATACACCAACGCTTCGTGGACACTGGGTGCTGAAGCCACCGCAAAATGCATCATCCGCCTTATCAAGATGCTCGAGTCGCGCAAGCTCGTTGCTGCGGTCCCAATCGTGAAGGACGAGGAAGCTTCTCTCCTACAGGAGCGCCCGTTGGTGAAACTCAAATCGACATACATTATCGACGGACCCCGTGTTTTCCCTCGCGCGGCGGATCGGGGTCCTTGGAAGCCGCGTGACCACTATGGTAAGGATATTCGCTTCGCGACGAAGGGGAACCTTGATGATGGGCTCGAGTTTGTACAGGGCCCCAGCCTGCGTTTGCGGAAGAAGCTGGCTTGAGTTTTGCGTATTTGATTTGACGGGATAATGCCTTTACACGTGACTGCAGACTTGGCGCTTTCTTTTGGTGGTATATAGCAAACCTTTGAAGATAATATGAAGATATGTGATCCTGTAAATATACGACACTGTTTCTTGTATTCACAATGCCATTGTTTTGAAGTGATCACACTGCATCCTAGGGTGATAGGGATCTTAAAACGATGATGTTAGTGCACGATCTGTGGAGTAATAGCCTCGGAGTCTGATATGGAACTACATACTGAGCGATGCGCGAAGCGTGCATGGGACCATTTCCCGCTTACTTTTGCGAGCTCTCGGCTAGCCCTCGCCCCCAAATATGTGTACGTCTTGCGTATTGCGAGCTGAGATGATAGCATTCATTTGCATTTGACCTATTTGCTCCTTCGTGTAAAACAGGGACAGTTGGCTGCGGGTTCTTTGGGGCCTGCGCCTTTCGGGCTGACACTCAAACCATTGAGCTATGACTGCATTAGCGCACGTTAGTCAGTGATTTTGATCTGATCTCCACACGTACGGAAGATGGTATACAGATAGCAGCACATTGAGTTTATAAACTCACCTTTATTCCCACATTGAACGAAAGGCAGTCTGTTCTAAAGACAGGTTTCGCCCCAGGAAACTTTTAAAGTCGGCATTCCGCATCAAAACCTCCACATTCCAGACCATGTAGTCTCGCAGCATGTTTTTTAAATTCTCCATGTACTCACTATCCTCAAAAACAAATACCAAGAGAAAGATTTTTTTACTCTTTCTTGTCGAATACTTCTTAATGCAATCGTTTTTCAAATAGAGTAAAATTATCAAGCAATCGTAGCAGCCGATAGAAAGATAGGGCACTAAGAGAAAGCCCAGCCTATTCTGACTCCAAAACTATAAATTTCAGCGTGACTCAGGAACACTGCTGCATAGCTCATGAGAGGACCATTGATCAAGTGTTTTTCAGACCCCGATCGTGGTGTATGGCCAAGTCCTGCCACACACCAAGGCGCTCGGTATAGGGGCCAAGTGATTGAAACCTGAATATCTATGCCTGTCCATATCCAGACAACCGACACCTACCGAGAAAGTGAAAGATCGAGAATGATCGGCCGTCTTTTCAGCTCTACCGACGCCATGCCGTAAGCCGAAGCCCACCGATACGATACAGCAGTCCCGGCTTTTTTAGGGGCAAATGAACAAAGGTCGGACAATTCCCTGGCCACCAGTCTTTCTGTAGATCGAAAAATCCCACTGCATTGTGAACTAATTTGTCAAGGGGAATTTAAGACTGCATTTGAGATGCCTCAACATAACTAGATGGCGCTGTACATTAGATGTACGAAGCACAAGTAGAACGGCATGGTACAAAGAAGTGGGCTGTCTAGTTATTTGGCGGAGATAAGTCACAATTAGTTCTCGGCAGTCCGCAAGTTGACAGCAACCCTGGGCCGCTGGAGAATCCCCCACTCCACTGTTTGATACACAGAGCCTTAGACTATCCCATTAACCCGAGATCATCGTACCCCACAAAACACCGTATAGCTGCTTATATTTGCGGGGAAGATGTGGGCTCTCTCCGTTTGTCTCAGGACCCACGGTTACCCCGCAAAGGGTTTCTATCCACCGAAATGGGAGTAGACATAAGATTCACCCATTGAGCGCGAAGTTGAGAACAGAAACAAAAAAGTTATCATGAAGGACTTACATCAACAGGATCAAGTCGGAGACATCGGAGACACTGAAAAGAATGAATTCCATAATGAGGGACTCATAAACTCTTTCAATCCGGATGAGCAGAAGAGAATCGTCCGACGAGTTGATAGTCGCTTGGTTATTACTGTGGGATGTTTATTCATTGTCAGTCTGTTGGATCGAACAAACCTCGGAGCTGCTTCGGTTGCAGGGTAAGTGCAATGGATCGCAATTGTCTATACGGCAGGTCTGTACATACGTACTCAGCTAACCAAACCCAGAATGCAGAAAGAGCTGGATATGAACGCATCCAACAATGGCTACAGTATCACTTCGTTGGTATTCTTCGTCACATACACCGTCTTCCAGATCCCTGCCACAGTCATTATTCGCAAACTTGGGCCCCGAATTTTCCTCGCGGGCATTGTGACTCTCTGGGGAGGCGTTATGATTGTAAGTATCAATAACTCAAAACTAAAGCGTCTTGTTAATGATCTTAGGGTTTCGGCTTTGTCAAGGACTGGGAATCCATGGCTGGCTTACGCGCAACCCTCGGTGGTCTAGAGGCTGGACTGTTCCCCGGCAGCGTCTATCTCCTTAGCACTTGGTACCCCCGCTACGAGCTACAAAAGCGCAACGCTGCGTTCTTTCTTATTGGAAGCGTAGCCTCCGGTTTTGGCGGTATCTTAGCCTACGGGTTATCGCAGATGGATGGGCTAGGCGGGATTTCCGGTTGGCGGTGGATTTTCATTGTAAGAATCTAGATGCTCTATGCTCTCTGAATATCGCGGGAGATCTGATTATCACGGAAGAAGCTATACTAATGATATATGGAACACAGATAGAAGGCCTTCTTACGTGTGTCCTAGGCCTCGGTTCCTACATCTTGCTGGTCGACTTCCCGGAAAAAGCTCCGAAGTCCTGGAAATTCCTTAACCAAATCGAAGCCTCATTTATTATCACGACAATCGAACGTGATAGAGCAGATACCACTGTGGAGCCTTTCTCTCTTCGGAAATATCTAGCAAACGGCAAAGACAGTAAGGTCTGGGCATATGCGATCTTATATATGTTAGCTACTATGCCTAGCTACGCAATCGCATACTTTCTTCCGATCATTCTGCAAGATAGCATGCACTTTCCCGTGGTGAAGGCGCAATGTCTTGTTGCGCCACCGTATGCTTTTGCGGGTGTGGTGATGTACACCCAGGCAGTTTACTCAGATAAATGGCGTCTGCGGGGACCCATCATTATTGGAAACGCGCTTGTGGCGATCCTTGGGCTAGCGCTGCTAGGTTTTCATAAGGATCCGGCCCCCCGGTATTTTGGAGTCTTCTTAGCTACTGCTGGTGGTGAGTGAACGCTCTTGTCTCGTGGCTATAACCATACTAATGTCTGTTGTAGCAACTGCAAACTGTCCAGCGCTGGTATCTTGGCAAAGGTAATAGTGTTGCTTCCAGAATGTGTTTTTATTTTAGTCTCTAATTGGCTCTAGCAACAACATCCGTGGCCAATGGAAGCGAGCCTTTACATCTGCGACATCGATCGGTGGAGGCAGTATTGGAGGCATCATTGCGACAACAGTATTCCGCGCTCAAGATGCTCCTGATTATATACCAGGTCTAATCGCCGCTATATTGGCCAATGGTTTGATTGTCGTACTTGCGAGCCTACTCACACGTAAGTTCAATCGGGCAAACAAACGAGTCGATGCTGGAGGAAAGCCGATTGAGGGACAGATTGGGTTCAAGTATACGTATTGATGAGGCTGTCCAACCAATACAAGGAATGATCAGGAATGTGAAGGAGAGAGTTTTATTAGGAAAGAGGATGAAGAGACCCCAGAATAAATGTCAACTAGTCAACTATATATCCGTGATCGAGCAGAGAAAGAGCGCAGCCGGGTTCGACGGGAGAGAAAAGATAGTTCCCTCAATCTCGCCATTCCCCACATGAGCGCATTTCAGCAACAGCCCAGACTCGGTCTACCCCCGTTCCGGTGCGCGGCCACGCTTTAACCGGTGATAGCCGTGGCTTGGTAAATGCAGAGGGAAACATGAGGGTATTTACATACATGCATCCAAGTTGTTTTACTGCCAACTTGATTCTTGTATAGAGAATTGTGGGATCAATTTTTACTCTACAGCTTTGCTTCCAGTCTTATCACCACAAAGACAACCGTCCCATACTTGACATAAATATAACTTGAATTGGATGGTTGAGTTGCTCTTGATTTGTTGGGCGCTGTCATTCAAATCTCACCCGATGCATTCTTGAGAAAACCAAGCTGCTGATCCATCACCCCCTGCACTATGTCCTCGAATGGGCGCCATTTCATTCCAAGCTCTGTCTCCGCCTTGGTCGTATTGGTTCGGTCCAACACACCTTGCGCATCCTCGGTGATGACGGATCCAGCATCTGGGTAACGCTTTTTCACAAACCGCGCAATCTCTGGCACTGTAGTACTTTCTCCAACCAACAGATACTTCGAGCCATCCACGATCTTCGGGTCTAGCGCTCTGATATGCGCTTCGGCTACATCCTGAACATGCACTGCCGTCAAAAACCCAGTCGGGGTGCCTGCCATGATAAATCCCCATAGAGCCGAGTTGGACCCTCCCATAATTCCTGCCGCAGATGTTTGCACGAGATTGGGGCCATACACATATCCTGGGTGCATCGAGACCAAGGCGTACTGAGGTTTGGCTGTTTTCCAGAAGTCCCAGGTTGCATTGTTTGCAAGCAGTTTGGAAGCCATGTACAGTATCATGGGTGTTGCAGCCGGGTTTGCGGGGTCCTCGAAACTTCCCCTTTCATCGACTGAGAGATTCCAATCATTGTCCTCTGGAAATGTTGTCAATATGCCGATGTGGAACCAAAGAAAGAATGTGGTTTACCTTTGATAACTCCACCATCTGGAAGACCAGCCAATGGAACCAAAGCAGCCGAGGATGAGGTTATCACGATCTTCTTGATGCTCGGTACCTTGGCTGCCGCCTTCAGCAAGGCAGTGGTTCCTTTGACCGCTGGAGTGAAGTACGTTTCCTTGTCGGTGCCATGAGGAAGAGGAGATGCAAGGTGGAGCACAAACTCCACACCGTCCAGCTTGCCACTGAATGCCGTTTCATCGGTGAGGTCTGGAATGATGACATATTCGATCTGCTTGCTGTACTGTGACAGCAAAGTCTGCAGGTGGTCCGAGGGCTTGCGAAGACAAACTCGTAGTTGATATCCGGCCTTTAGAGCTTCCACGGCAGTGGCACTTCCAATAAAGCCAGAGGCCCCAGTAATGAAGATTAATCCCTTAGACATTTTCTTTCAGTTCCTTGGTTGTTGATTACAGAAAGTAGAGTCTAGTGTACTCTCTTTTATACTTAAGTTTTTGTTTTTGAATTTGTCATCTACAGTGTATTTTCACAATAAACTCTGGCATATGACAAATGTGCCTCCAAATACCGAGCTTTAAACAGCTCGCGAAAATGATATTAATACTAGGGAATATTCGAGGACGATGAAACGACCAAGACACCGAATCACTACATAGCCTAGTTCTCTATACTATGTTATTGTACTTGTCTTTCGTACGTGTACGTGTTGTTTACAATGCCTGCTAGCTATGTTATTTGCCTCAAACGTCATCGCAAATTTCCCTTAATGAATAATTCAAAAATAAGCCGAGTCTTTCAATCTATAGAAAGGACCAATGGCCAGGAAACTGTCCGGCCTTTTTTTTTTTTTTTTCTTTTTTTTCATTTGGCCCTAGAAAAGCCGGAACTACTGTGTCGGCGGGCATCGGCGGGCATCAGCTTTCGGCACATGACGGCCCGACGTAGATGGCTGACATACGGCAAATCACTCTACATTATTCACTATATAATTTCTCTCGGTAGAGGTCGGTTGTCGGGATATGGAGAGGCCGTTTTTTTAGGTTGTCATTAGCTTTGCCCTTGTACCGAGCCCCTTGGCGTCTGATCGTATGGTGCTGATCTTTCGGTGTTCTAATCGCGGGGAAGGTGTGTGATTCGCGGATATGCTATTTCTGGAGTCGATGTCGAATTCGCCTACCTATCACAACATATCCCCGCCCTCTTCTAAACTTGGCAAGTTCTTCCTTCCTGAATCTTTCCCCGCTTTTCTAACCCGTCGTAGATGCTGATTTACCCTGCCGAGAGGGTAATCGGCCTCTGGTGGCACTCGGGTTCACAATCATTTTCATCTACCCATTTACCAAGATCTACTTTCGGGAGGCGGGTGGCGGAGAGGACGATGTGCGTCAGTATTCATCCACAGCGGGATTGCGATAAAACGGGGGCAGAACACTGTTGCTGATCTCAGATATCGGAATAGAGATACCCGTAGATCTGCTGAAATAGGATATAAAACGAACACCCTTCCCGTCCGTTCTGATCATCACGACTGTATTTCAAGATTCTAAATCCTCTGGACAACGAGTAAATTCCTCTCTACAATTATGTCTCCCTCTCTTGCCACCGAGTCTGCAATCCCTGTTGCACCAGGCCCCGGACGAGCGCCTTTGAAACTTAGCGGTGCTTTGGATGCTTTTGAGTCCTTTGATGTCACGCCAGTCATTGGACGCGAGTTTCCCAATGCAAGCTTGAAGGACTTTCTGTGTGCTCCAAACTCCGATGATCTGCTTCGGGATCTTTCCATTACGAGTCAGACAAACCCCAACTCTCATATTAATTCTACGCTCATAACCCTATTCTAGTTTCCCAGCGAGGAGTCGTCTTCTTCCGCAAGCAGGATGCCCTGACTGACGACATGCAAAAGGAATTGGCTCAGCGACTTGGAGAGCTCTCGGGAAAGCCGAAGACTTCCGGATTACATGTTCACCCAATTGCTAACTCACGCCGAGAGCAAGGTGTCAAGGATGACGAAATCAGTGTGATCAACTCACAGGAGGGGAAAAAGCTGTACAAGTCCCGTGCTACCCGCCACCAGACCGCCAGAAAGGAGTGGCATAGCGACATTACTTTTGAACCTATTCCGAGTGACTATACGATCTTGCGTTTGACCGTTCTTCCAAGGACTGGCGGAGGTAAGCATTAATCCTCCATCTCTTATGATCTTGTGGCGCTCATGCACAAGTCTAGATACTCTGTGGGCTTCGGGATACGAACTATATGACCGCCTTTCACCACCTTACCAGAAATTCTTGGAAGGGTTGGAGGCAACCTTTTCGCAGCCTCAATTCAATCAATTTGCGAAGGATAGCGGCTTCGAGGTTTTCAAGGGCCCTCGCGGTGCCCCTGAGAATGTCGGGGAAGATCTGCGTGCTGTGCACCCAGTAATCCGCACCAATCCTGTCACAGGATGGAAGAGTGTCTTTGCTATTGGCACTCATGTGGAGAAAATCAACGGACTGAGCGACGAAGAGAGCAAACATCTCACCGACTGGTTCGTAAACTTGATCATGGAGAATCATGATCTGCAAGTGCGCCACCGCTGGCAAAACCCGAATGATCTCGGTATGTCGTCTCGTATTTATGTTTGCAAACTGCTTGTAGCTGACATCTTTGATAGCTGTCTGGGATAACCGGTCCACATATCACGCAGCGACTTGGGACTACGAAGATATTGGTCCACGGGCTGGCCACCGCGCTGTCAGTCTTGGAGAAGTGCCGTTTTACGACTTGAAGAGCACTGGAAGACGGGAAGCGCTGGAGAGAGAAGCACTTGAGAAAGGCAAATAAAGCAGTCACCACCATTTGTGCTCTATCAACGCGATCGTCAAACGTTGCTTGTGATTGTCTGTTTCCGTAAATAGAAAAGAGTATGTCGACGGCTATTTTGTTTTATATATTGCATGCCAGCAGGGCATTTTCTCATTGAATCCAATTATCATCCTGCTTGACTTCCACAATTAAAGTTCAACGTAGCTTATACTGACTCAGAGCCCCTGGTCCATTATGATTTCAATGCGCGCGTTTCGTCATATTATTCATCCTCAGAAAATTCATCGTGATCCCCTTAGGTCTAATGCCCCATAGACCTTGGTCTTGGAGAGGAAGCTATGAATCTGAGGACAACACGAATTGTAATGGACTAACTGACTGACTGACTCGAAGGAAAAGAGAAGAACGGAATGAAGAGACGGATCTATCTACACTACAGTCCTAAAACAAATACGGTCCATAATCCACATGCATCTTCGTGCTTTCTATCCGAGTAGATAGAAATTCATCTCCTTTGACAACAAAGATAAGTGGAAAGTGGATGGGACATAAGGCGGTAAGAAGAACGGTCAGGTCGTGCTGGTCCAATCCGTCCTTCGTATCCGACCGTCGCCGCACTTGACCGAAAGGTTAAGTTTCGGCCCGCCTCACCGAATGGCCCCACTTCCGCCGAAAGATTAAGACCAAACGACGAGGCTTAGGCTCGGCATCGCCCGCGGGAAATGACATAGTTGGTGAGTGGAGAAGTGTAGCTGACAAATTGACCCCTGGAAACTGCGGGGTGTATACAGCTCAACGTTGAGTCGCGGGGCATAAGAGTTCCCGTACACACCCCGGAGATATTTCCTTATACCCTCAGCGCCAGCTCGTTCAAACCTGCTTCGCGACTCTTTACTTTCTCATCCACAATCCGCGCCTCCCTCACCATGTCGTCTGATATCACACTCTATACCTGGAACACAGCCAACGGCATCAAGGCCTCTATCACCTTGGAGGAGCTTGGTCTCTCCTATAAGACTGTGCGAATCGATATTGGAAGCAACATTCAGAAGGAGGAGTACGATTATTCTCGGCATCCCTGGCACAGAAGTCTTCCTGCTAATAACGATCAAAACCTAGGTGGTTCTTGAAGATTAACCCCAATGGCCGCATCCCTGCCCTCACCGACGGCCCACAACGCGTTTTTGAGAGTGGTTCCATTATGCTTTACCTCGCCGACAAATACGATACCGACCGCAAGATCAGCTATGCGCCTGACACTCCCGAGTACATTGAGCAGGTGTCCTGGCTGATGTTCCAAACAGGTGGAATTGGTCCAATGCAGGGTATGTTGAAAAGAGGAGATGGATTTCTCGCGGGGTGTTTTTTTGATTGTCATGTCTCTAGGCCAAGCAAACCACTTCCGACTTGTCGCTAGTGTCCGCTCCGACTACGCCATCAAGCGGTACATCGACGAGACCAAGCGCCTTTACTCTGTCCTGGAATCCCGTCTGAAAGAGAGCACCTACCTGGCGGGCCCTAAGTACACAATCGCCGACATCACCAACTACACGTGGGTCCGCCGTGGTCCTCAAATGCTGGAGATCGATCTCTCTGAGTTCCCGGCCCTCAAGAACTGGGTAGATGAGATCGACAAGCGCGCTGCGGTGCGGAAGGGCGCGGACGTGCCTCACCTTGACCGCACAGACGAGCAATGGAATGAAATCCTCCGAAGCGCTCGCGCTAAGATTGATGGAATGACCAATTCTGATCAGCATTAGGCGGTTGGGATGTATTTTTTATGTGCTAACCTGTCACGAAAGGTATTGTCTTACCCAGGTGGTGTCTTGTTTAATAATACAAAGGAAATAAAAATTATACAACACCACGTTCGATGATTTGACAGTGTTCCAGGAGAAATGAGAGGGTTCCATTGCCAGCGAAGTCAGAGGAAGCAAGAAACACCGTTGTGTGAAGTAGGTGTTTATCTAGGGACGCAGTCAATTCATCTCACAGACAGCGCTCGGCCTCATGATTGCTTGTTGGATTGTCTTACCCCATCAAGAAAGTGGAAGATTTGATTAACCCCGCTGCAATTTCCTTTTCTGATTCTTTTCTTCAACAATCAATAAGGACAAGTACAGCCAGGGTCGGTAAGACGGCGGACCTTGATCAGATAGACGAGTGAGTACTCCACAGCGCGCAGAAGTATGAGTCTCGGCGTGATACCCCGTTTTTTAAACCGGGGGTGGTGTTTGAAATTTTCCTGAGCTACTCGTGGAGGTCTCACGAGATGCAAATGGTGTTGTTTAGAATTGAAAGGTCAAACATGCTCATAATATGGTCGGCTAGCAGACTCCTTTCCCAGCGGAACCGGATCGATGCAGAGATTATCGAGTCCCGGTCTTCAAGGGCATTGAACTCGCAGTATATGCGTAGATTTCCGCCTGTTGTTGCTGTTTACTCTTTGCCCCAGTCTCCTAGGCATGGGAACCCGCCACTGATCAGAGCGTTTTAGTCCTTAAAGGGCATAGTGGTACTGTTGATGTTTCTGCCTCACGTAGATAGGACCTTGCTTCCTAACCCTAATAGCCCGTACGTGGTCAAAAGTAGATCTGAGCACCTGCTAGCCGGAGGGTCTTTGTGATTTTGAATCGTCTAGATGGCCGCCTGGCTGTCGGAGAAAATGACAAGTTCTCGAGTCACGTTTTGTTGATCTTGGTTGTCTTTCCTGGCCCATGCCAGTGCTATGTCGATGTCGCCGAGCTCTGCCGTGTACGCCGTGGATTGGGAGTCTGTGCCCAAATGTCATCGCTGGGTTATTCTTTTTTTAAGCGGCACGTACCTGGCCTTTCCACTTTCTGTCATCTTAATAAACATACTACACAGTCACATCTGGCTCAACCACCCTGGTTTCAACAAGTTTGGCTGGTACCTGGAGAAGGTTGCCAGTCACCAAAGAGTTATTCCTGCGACTTGCCTCTAAACCCTTCTTCCCTTCGAGAACAACAGGGCGGCATTATGAACGCGTAACTCGCTATCAAGTTCCATTCTTAACAATAGCCAGCCAAGATACCGATCAGTACAGGAATCGCCGTTCGCATTCCAATTACTCCTCTTCAGGAAAACCAACATGGAAATGACCCTTCAATTTTCCAGGGAGCGAGGTGATCTTCTGGAAATAAGAATAGTCAAATCGCTGTGGCCAGGATACTAGCATCATTCTGAAATCCGCTGTAATACCACAAAGCCATCCACAACACCACCAAACATACATTATGGTCACGCTATATCCATCTGCATCGTCGAAGACTAGCAAGCGTGCAACCCCCAGCACGACTTACAGATCTACGGTGCGATGACTACCAGAACGATATCCTATGGATAGCTGCTTCGGCTGATCTAAAAATCCTTTTCTCATTTCTAAAGGTCCAAGACAAAACGTCGTATCTGAAAACCACCTTTTGCTCGCTTATAAAGCTACTTTCAACTAATCATATGCCTCGCTGCACAACGTCATTCATTACACCTCAAATCAGGCCTATTCTACCTCATATGAGCCTACATACGGCCCTAGAATTCGGTAATTTGCACGCACGTTACTATATATATCGCGCTTAGCTATTCTGCCATATTTAGGCCAGTTGCTCTCCTTATATAGAGAATCAGACGTCATCTACTAAGTGATTGGACCATATAGCTCCGATAGACTGATACGCGGCGCTACATTTGGTCAACGATTACGGAATTACGGGTCTTGGACTCAGTTGTTATTTGAACCCAGGATCAATGGTCCTGGTGACTCAAGGAGTCGGGAGAGGGGTAGAAATTCATACCTTTGTTGGGGGGATGGGAGTTACTTGTTGGTAGTTACGCCGGCAAAACGCTCCACGGGCATGAGGTTCGCCTTGGTTGGTGGTTTCCCCACTCCCGCCGAGAGTCGCCTTACCACCAGCATGATGATTCACACTCGGAAGTATTTTGCCCGTACCGGCGGCGCTACTCGGTTGATTCGGCTTCGAGCAATGCGGCATGGGATGGAATAGCTGCGGGGTATGTTTATAGAGCGCCGAGTCGGCAGGCCGCCTTCAATTGCCAAGAAGTCCCAGTCGGTTCCTAAATTTCATGATAATTACAAATCGACATACAGTCCCCGCAAGCCATTACAAATGCAAAGGAAAAGAGAAAAAGACAGATATATAAACGTTTATCGTATTATCGCTTCTCCACCACGCACACTTCTCTCGATATCCGCTACACACAATGGCACCATTCGGCAAGATCTGGTCCTACACCCCTAGCCCCCGGGTCATGAGAGTGCGTCCTGCATTACTCCCTTGTTCCGAGTGGCTGCTAATTCAGGCCTCCAACAGCTCCAGGCAGCTGCCAACTTCAATGGTCTGGAGCTGGCCATCCCGGACTTCGTCATGCGCGAGACCAACCGCAGCCCCGAATTCCTGTCCAAGTTCCCGTTCGGCAAGGTGCCCACTTTCGAGGGTGCCGACGGCACCAACCTGATCGAGACGGATGCCATTGCCGAGTATATCTCTCTGAGTGGCCCGGCCGCCGGGCAGCTGATGGGCAGCACGCCTGCCGAGCGGGCCACGATCCGGCAGTGGATCTGCTTTTCCCAGAGTGAGGTCATGGATAACGTGGTGCAGCTGGCGTTGTGGCGTCGGGGGGCCAAGCCCTACGATGAGGCTATTGAGAACAACGCCCTGGAGCGCCTGGATCGCTCGCTCACCTTCCTCGATTCCCACTTGAAGGAGCGCGCCTGGGTGTGCAGTGAGGATAAAATCAACATGGCCGATATCACGCTCGCCTCGGCGCTGGCCTGGGGCTTCTCCATGGGCATCGACGCCGAAATGCGCGCCAAGTACCCGGTCACCGTCGCCTGGTACGAACGCGTCATTGCCGTCGATGAGGTCAAGCAGGCTTTTGGCGAGAAGAATTTCATCGAGAAGCGTCAGGTTCCTCAGAATTAGATAGATCAACCTAGTACACATTCTGCATGCAAATTACACAAGAAAACGCAGCTGCACTCATAAAGATTTTTGGTATTGCCAGACTAAAGACATCATAAACAAACAACACCAACATAGCGTAATTTATATGGCAGTGTTGAAATCAGGTGACTGACTCCGTTTGCTCGCTTTGTCTATATATGCCACTAGCTAGTAGCTTAGCTTCTTCTTCCTATCTCCTTTCCACCTGTGTCGACTCGGCCACCAAGCCTCCGCCCCATAGCAGAGGACTGAGATGACACATGCAGTGGTGGCTTGCTTCAGGAGGACAGCGCTGACACCTCGGACAGTGTTGGCCAGGGGTAGTTGCTTCGGGCAAACCCCTAAAAACAAACTCCCCTAAAAACAAGCTGAATCTTGCATACGTTACACATTTTATAGCACGAATTACTCTGATACTGACCACCCCATAAAGCAAAACACTAGTAATAATGACTTTGTATAGATCCCGCATTAGGAGAGGTTTGCCCGTAGACCAATGGCCGCCGATCCGAGCCGCCCGTCGGTCCATGCAGTGGGATCCAACCAGCCACGGCGGGTCGGAAACCATGGGACGCGCACACGAGTGGGTCTTTGTACGGTGGGTAGCACACATGAAGGGAGATCCACGAAGGTTGTCGTCGAGTTCTTGATTTGTGGTCGATTCCCTTTTCCCCCTCACAGATTTCTCTATGTTGATAAAATTCTTGTGCAGATATGGGGCCTATATAGCCCGACCAAAATGTTGATTCGGTATTCGAGTGCAGAGGATGGAATATGTAAAATGGACGAGTCGAAACTTGTAGATTGAAGCCGACTTAGACAAAGATCGCCTTAGTGATAGAAGCGGTGGCATCAATGCTGAACGTATACGGAGGGTATAAGAGTACTACCAAGGAACGATGGAAAATACCTTGATGGGGGTTAGGGCTAGAGCTTTGGGTTCCAATGTGAGGTGTACTTCTTATATCTAGAGGAAGTCGTGACTGAGGGAAGCATTGGGTGTTATAAATGTCAACTAATGAGCATATCCTCTGTTCCCTTTTCAACTGTGATATCTCTGCTTAGTGCTACATAATTGTATGGCATATTCCTGTAACTAATTCCTTTTCTACACAGAGTATTTGCTAGATAATCATGATAATCAATAGACGTTTATTTAATTGTTGTTCTTGGTAATTCATATTCCCTCGTATCTTATATACAATTCTATTCGTCTATTCCGATATTGGGTGTAGTCGACAAAGTTCTTGTCGGCGTTATACTGATATATAAAATCGGGGTGGTTCAAGGCTCAGCAGTTGAATACATCGATAACGACGCAAAATTTAGTTGGCATATTTGCATGGTCTATAGGCTGAATATTGATTGACAATGGCTGATTGTACAGTGAAGACTCATTCATGTCGATAACTCACGAGGGAGCACAGGGTATTAACGTTCTAAGGAAATCACTCGGATTACCTGACTAGGCATATTCGACTGTATACGGCTAGCCAAGACTATAGCTGATCGCCGAGATGGTCCCAAAATGGTATTTTTGGACTGGGGCAAAGCTAAGAGGGTGTGATAACATATCATAGACCAGTGATGTTTGTCGAATCCTTCAGCCCGGGCAGCACAGCCTCGTCCACGGCCTATAGAATTATAGCATGCTTGCGATTGCGAGGCGATGCTAGCTGCACGACAATGAGACTAGCGCAGATAGGCATCCTGCGGCCATTTAGAGTGTTTTCTGATGTTTTTAAAAATGGTTTAGACTTTCAGGTCGCACTGCATAAATAAATAAGAAGTCTAGGGCTGATGGCTCCCCGCGCTGCATTTTTCTCCATCATATCGGATATTACTCAATTCCCGATCATGCATATAGTTTATTGCTGACCTGATAGAACCACGATGGGAATCTGCTCTGCACAAGCTAATTGTACTGTACCCGATAATTATATTGTACCTTTCGATGCTGATCCTGACATTGTGAGTATCTGAACTGCCACTCGACCACTGATGTACTGAGACCTGCGATCTAGGCTGGAACGGGGGTAAGTGTTGAGATTTTTGATCAATTATTACCTAGTAATGACGCTCTGCAGGTTCTCGCTGCCTTTTTTATTGGTGTATGGTCGACATATATCATAATCGCATGGGGTTACTTCTTTAACGATCGCATATCCAATGACTGTCTCTCTGATCTTGACCGGTGGATCCGACATTATTCACTCACTTTGCCACACCACATTCGACAATGGATCTTCAAGAAAGAAGCCCAGAAATGGACAGGCTCGTCGACAGCACTTATCAAAATCTGTCTCATGATCAGTGACCAGCAACTAGTAACCGGCACCGCAATGCTCCTCATAGGCTTCATCACGCACTGCAACATCCCACAATACTACTTCGAAATAATTGCGGACTACGGATGGGTAACCAACAGTGTCTACCAGACCTCTGTCATGGTCACCTACCCTATTTTCCAGCAAAACCCCGCCATGCGCCACTGGCGCGCGGCGTGGATGACTTGCCAGGCCGGGTTTATTTTCATCTGTCAGATCTTGACCTACCACCAAGACTGGCTGTATCTATTCGGAACACCCACGAGATGTATTTGGGAGAACATGTCGACGGGATACACCAAGGGGTCACAAATGGTCCAGCTGATTATCACCTTAAGCTTCCAGGTATGGAGTTACCTGTTCGCTATGGGCATTTTCTACCCCCGTTACGTCGGATGGACCACCTATTTCCTCCGTGCTGTGAGGTATATCCTTCGGCTCCCGACGAGGTTTCATGTCTGGTTGAGTAGAAGGTGGAAACGCCCATCACGGTTACAGGGGTGTGTACTCGCCACCACGTACGCTATTTTCATTGCGGCTCATATGATGTCGCAAATTTTTGCCTCCTCATTGCTGGAAATAATTCGGGCATTCGCTATGCTGCTTTGGGGATTCTGGTGGATTACCGGGTACAGAATGTCTGATGACCCCTCTCGGGTCGAGGCAATGCAGGGAGGCGAAAACGAATGGTCGACGGGGCAGATGATGCCTCTTCTTATGCTCGCATTGCCGTTGTTTACGGCAATTGAACTATATTGGGGTAAGCCTTTTGTGACCTATCGCGAGGACCCAACTAAACGTCACAGATAATACCACAGAAAAGCCAAAGTCGGAAGACACGGTCGACATTCCACTTCGCACGTGCGAACGAAGCACGATAGACAGTCTTCTATGCAGCACACATTCTCTGATATCGTCACCAGCAGCGTCGTTACTGTCTACCTCTTACACGCCTCGGATCATCAGTTCTTGGAACCTAGATGCGCGCGAAGTGTTCGAGCCGTACTGTCATACGAGGGGTCACGACACCGACTCTCTTGATGTGGAGCCATGCCGCCCGTCCCTGTCAGGGTCGCAGGAGGCTTTTTTCCAGCTGGAGTATCTAACTATTGAGAAATTATGGTTTCGAGTATTGCTCGTTGTTGTTAGCGCGATGATCCTGGGTGGGTTTATTACTGGTGCACTGTTTGGATATGTTATTTAGAGATGGACGAGGGCGTTGCGGCAAAGTGTCTATATAGAGAGCAATTCTCCGTTATCTTCCAAGCGAATCGGTTCCGGTAGACCAAAGTTGCACAAACCTGTACACTGAGTCAAACGTGGCTCAATTAGATAACTCCATGCCATTCCACGTAAGGACTCTATATAGGTCAAAACAGTACACTGTATGACACAATGCAGTTCCAGACGGTGCTCTACGAAGGCCATCCGTCGTCATCGCACCAGCAACGTGCCTTTCGTATGGCGTCACGTGATTGATATAACCCTAGTATGAAGGAAGTGTCGCTGGAATCCCGAGAGCTTGTTCGGGGTGGATCGGGACATATTTCGGGCAGCCGGCAACCCATTCTGGTGAACAGTTCTCGGAATTTCAACATCTGCACTCTGTACATCTGATATGGATGCATGTAGCAGCTTAAAATCATATGTTTACAGGAGATCTACAGCGTTTCCAGCCCCCCTTTTGAGGTAATGTACATATCGTTCGCTACTGGGATTTAGGATTAAGCATGTTGGTTGTTCTACTTGTGATATAACAGCTCCTATGGAATAGCCACGACAACGAGTAGTCATTTACAAGATCATGCCATACCACCGTCCCCTATTTTTTGCCCCAAAAACTTCGGTCACCCCCTTAAAGCCTTCGGTAGCAACGGCATCTGGAACGCACCCTTTGTACCGCGCAGAAACGAGGCAACGAGATCGTCCAATCCCGCCTGTACAGCCTTATCCACCCACTCATCAAAAGGAAGCAACTCGACCTCTGCGTCCTGTTTTTTCTGCAAGTAATCCCTGAAGTCTTGGACAGGAATCACGTTCTCCCCGCTCTGGTGGAAGTAAGCGAGAGTCCCGGCCGAGGAACCCTCGAAAAGAGTGTCTGTAATCCCCTTCGCGCAGGTTTCCACACCCACAAAATCGAATGCTCCGGTCGCACCCGCAGCCATTAGATCGGGGACTGTGCGTAGCGACTCAGACCATTTCCACACATTGTGGATGATGTCCCTGTCACCGACATCCGGACCAGTGATGTTGCTGGGTCGATGAATAAACACAGGTAATCCTAGCTGTTCTGATGCCTGCTCCAAAACCCGCTCGCTAGCCCATTTGGCAGCGACGTAACCATCGGACCCGTCCACTGGAGGTGGGAAGGGCGAGACAGATTGTTCAGGGAACGACGGCGTTTTGGGAAGGTGGCCCACACCGGCCGTCGAGACATAATGGAAAGCCGGAGTGGGAACGCCAGCATCGATCGAGGAGCGCAATGCAAGTTCGACAAGTTGGCGGGTACTGTCCACGTTTGTCTTTCGAAGAGAGTGATAGGACTTCATGTGGGAGACTTCGGCTCCGTTGTGGATAATGGCTGCGGCAGAAGAAAATAATTCCTCGGCTTGCGACGCGCTTAAGCCAAGACGGTCGGCAGCCAAGTCGCCAGTGTGAACAATAACCTTGGAAGAATCAACTAATTCTTTTGGTAGAGTGCGTCCGGAACGGACAGCGAGGCAGTGTATTTTGGAAATACGTGGCTCAGCGACAAGTTGTCGAACGATTTCACGGCCCAGGAACCCGGTGCTACCAGTGAGGACGACCGATAAGTCCGTTTCTGAGTGATCCTGGCAACGGGCAATAGCAGGGGGGAGGGACGTATCCAAAGTAGTCTCTTCACCCCACACGATAGTGTCTGTTTGAGCCGTAGTATGTCCGTCTATCCGTGAGGCGAGCGACTCGAGCGTGCTAGCTTGGAATAACTGGGCTAACGGCACTGAGACACCAAAAACCTCCAACATCTTCGCACGGACTCGCATCAACATAAGAGAATTTCCTCCCACAGAAAAGAAGTCCGAGTCTCGCCGAATCTCAAGTGGTAGTCCTTGTTCGGACAAGATTTCCTGCCACACCTGCTTCAAAGCCTTCTCGGTGTCGTTCAGCTCTTCAGTGGCCGTCTCTGCATCCTCCTGTATCGGAATAGCCGCAAGTGCTTTGACATCGAGTTTTCCCCGTTCCGTGAAGGGCAAACGCTGTAGTGGAACCGCAATTACCGGGCGCATATACACTGGTAGAGGGAGGGACCGAATTAGCTGACGGAGATAAGCGGACGCGGATGATTGCGATTTCTCGAGGTCTGCGACTTTCGCCGGCGAAAGAACCACAAAGCTAACCAGCATCTGGCTGGTTGTTCCCTTGACAATGGTCGTCGCATCCACGACGGCCTCGTTGGAAGTCTTTATGATTGAGCTGGAGATGTCATTGAGCTCAATTCGAATACCACGAAGTTTCACCTGCGAATCTCCATCCATGCGGCCCAAGAATACAAACGATCCATCTTTGAGCAGCCGGGCCTTGTCTCCCGTACGGTAAACATCACCCCAGCCCTCATATGATGACCCTTGAGGCTTGCGCAGCTGATCTGGTTGGAATTTGGAAGCGGTCAATTCGGGAAGGCCAACATAGCCCGGCGCCACACCCGGTCCACAGATGCACAGCTCGCCAGGCCATCCTAGAGGACATGGTTGCAAGTTCTCGTCGAGTACATACACACCATAGTTTGGAAGAGGAGGCCCAACGGGAACAACGGACCCCTCTTCCCAGTCCGTACGGCGGTAAGACACTTTACCTAGTGAAGACATAATAGTCGCCTCGGTTGGACCGTATGCGTTGTAGAGATCCAGATTCGGCAAGTCGAGGTCACGGAACTTGCGTAGAAGATTGATCGTGAAGGCCTCGCCGCCACAGAGAGCAATGCGCCAAGATTGGCAACGCGATAGTATGTCTCGTCCATACTGCAGGAGCGCAGACATTTCGGAAACCATGATCAGTGTCAGTGTGACGCCTTCTTTTTCGATCAGTGCCGCAAGATCAACTGGATCACCACGGTTACTGCCGTGAATCAAGGTCCCGCCATTTGTCAATGCCATGAACATCTGAGCCAAGGAAGCGTCAAAACCAAGAGCACTTTGCTGCAGTATGACGTCTCTGTCTGTGAGGCCCAAGGCATTGCTGATAGAAGCAAAATGAATGGAGAGATTTGCGTGGGTCAGCATAATACCCTTGGGCTTCCCAGTGGATCCACTAGTGTAGAGAATGACAGCTGCGTCGGAGAGCTTCGAAGCGTCGGGAACATGTCCGGATGCCGACTCTGGAACAGTATCAATATCAAGTACATCCTGACTGTCGCAAGCCACATCGACAAGGTTCTGCTTGGTAGCACCGTGGTATAGAATAAGGGCTGGCTTGCACTGTCTAACAACATCCTGCAGTCGCTCAGAGGAATTTCGAACGTCAAGAGGGACGTAAGCGGCCCCCACACGATGAATGGCGAGGATCGATGCGACAGTGTCGACCGTCGGTTCACAGTATATGGCAACTTGCGAGCCAGGAGAGACACCAGCCTTTTCGAGAGAATGGGACAGAGCGTGGACTCTTGCTTGCGTCTCAGCATAGGTCCTGGCCCGTCCATTCAAATCCTTGACTGCAACTCCGTCAGGCTTTTGGGCTGTCATAGCGTCGACGCGCTGTGAGATGGTCTGCGTTTGTGCCCAATCAAATCCAGTAGCAGACCCAGTTCCAGCGACCATGGATTGATTAACCAAAGTCTCGTCGAACAACGGCACCTCATTAAGGCGTTGGGATGAGTCGGTTGCCAAGGTATCCAGTAGGTGAACATAAGTTTTCACCAGGAGCTCCGCACCTTCCCAGTCATACATGTAATCTTGCATAGAGAAAGTCAACATTCCTGTGCCATCATCTTTCTCATCGATTGAAATGGCAAGATCGAAAGGTGCCTTGGCATCCTCATAGTCTAAAAAGCTCATCTTTGCGTCACCCATCTGAGGAGCGCGCAGCGCCCCCATACGGTAGTTCATCAGTACCTGAAACAGTGGTGTACTTGTGGACGTGGTAGGTATCTGGAGCTCCTTCAGAATTGTTTCGAGGGGCACACCAGAATTCTCTAGTGCACCATATGCTTTGGTCTTTGTATTGCGCAGGGTGTGGACAAACCGCTCCTTTTTGTTGACCTTCAACCTCAAAGGCAGCATATCCAGCAAGAAGCCGACCGTGTTGAGGAATGCTTTATCCGAGCGGTTCGCGTCAATGATACCCAAACAGACATCGTCGGTTTCCAGGAATCGATTAAGCAAAACCATGAACGTTGCTAAGTAGAAGTGGAAGGTTGTGGTCTTTGCCGCCAAGCTTGCTTTTTTGATCTTCGAGACAAGAGAGGGGTCCACGTCGTACACATAGTCGAGCGTGTCGTATCGAGTCAGAGCTTTCCTTGTGCCGACCTTCGCGAAAGGGAACAAAGGCAGCAAGGGGGGTGCGGACGGGAACTCCTTTCGCCAATATGAGAGCTTGGCATTATGAGTACCGCTACTGACAAGCTGACGCTGCTTGACTGAGAAGTCGATGTATTGCGATAGCGTGGGAAGCTCGGGGTTGTCTGATTCGTAGAAGCGGGCCAGATCATTCAGGGTAATCTGCCAACTGACACCATCCATGATGATATGATGGTAGCCGAAGACAATGGTATGGTCTTTAGGCCCATGAGAAATCAATGAAGCGACGAGCGTATCTGCGACGGAGAGATCGAAATGGTAGTTGGCAATCTCACGAAACACACGCTGCACGTCGTCCTTACTTCCCAGCATTGTTCGCATCTGGAATGGGGAAGAGGCAAGCACACGCTGCATGGCCTCACCGCTAGCTGCATCAGTGCAGAACGCAGTGCGAAAGCTTTCATGGCGTTCAATCATGCGCTGGAACGCATTTTCAAGACGAGCAACGTCGAGCGGACCCGTCAAGGTGTATGACGTGGTACAGTTGAAAGGGGTGTCTTGCTGAAGATAGGCCGTTGGGAACCATAGCCGGTTCTGACTGAACGACATCTTCTCCTGCCGTTGAACTGGAGTACAGATTTTTGACTTGACGCTTTCCAAGAGTAGAGAAGTTATTTCGGTCCGGGGAGTGTAGATACCTCGGCTGGTTTGAGGCGTCATTATCCCTTCTGAGGAAGAATTGCTCGAGGATGCCTCAACAGCGATTTCCAAAACTGGTGCAAGAGATTCAACAGGGCGTTCGATATTGGGCTGCTCAGTCACAGGTGCAGCAGTAACGGGCTCGGGTGAGTTCACGGCGGGTGGCGATACGGCTTCTTTCTGCGACCCAATTTGAACGGTCAAATTGGCAGCGACTTCATCACATACTAGAACAGGTTAGCAGGCCATGTCAAAAGGGCAACAGAAATGGACACCATACACTCCGCAATAGTGTATCCTCCAAGAATCTTCAATATTGACACATCGACGTCCAGTTCCTTTAAGAACCAGGCGCGGATGTCCGATGCGCTTAGCGAATCGACGCCTAGACTAGTGAGATCATTTCGGGAACTCAGAGACTCAGAACTCAGGGTCAGCATCGCCGCCAGCTGTGTCACGAAGAACTCCTGGATGACCGAGGAAGCTTCCTGGTGATCCTGAGACACAGCAATTCTCTCCATCATGCTCTGGACTTCACCTTGAGAGCTGCGTGGATCAGCTTCGTGCTCACGTACAGTGTGATGAGAGAACAAAGGTCTGGAGAGCCAATTTTGCGTAGACGAAGCAGGAACTTCACGAGGCAATCGCTCAACACCAGTCCAGATCGCGGACACGCCATCGGGGGACAAGGTGCTTGAAATTGCCTCCGTCAGCGCGTAGTGTACATCTGACTCGCTGAGGCGGATAAATGGACATTCTTGGTCAGAATCCAATTGGCATTCCAAGGAGAGCACGATTGTTGGTGGTCCTCCCTGCTTGCAGTGAGAAGCGAGGCTAGTGAAGTACTGTGGAATCGACATTAGTATCGTAGAGAAGTGTTCAGAATGAGTACATACTGCGTTCGCAGGCGCACAATCCCTTTGGAGGGAGGACAGGATGATAAAGAAGTCAACACCTCGATCTCCCAAGACAGTAGTCAGATTATGTGCACTTTGCTGTGATTCCAAAAGGCTTTTCAGCTCAAACTCGGACCCCCCCAAACTGCAAATTGCAGGTGATGCGCCACCGTAGATGACACCGGTGACTTTTGGCAATCTCTCAAAGACAGCTCTAGCGTCTTTAAGATTGGTAAGATCCGCCTGTAGATTCTGAACCTTCAGATCATCCAATAATTCCGGGGTTATATGTTCTCCGATGTCACTGTTTAGTTGTTAGTATGTCTCAGGCAGGAAGGGGCGGGGGTGCTTGCGAGTTGATGGTGATCAATGACCGCACACCGTTTGCAATCAACCAATCAGCGATGGAGTGAGTCAAGGACGACTCGGTATTGACGAGAACATATGTTCCGGTAGAGGAAAGGAGGTGTGACGGTTCCAAGGGCTCAACCGTTAGTGGAATACTCTTTTGCTGGGTCCAATCGACGACCGCCATAGCGTTGCCATTTTGAATACAATGCCCAAGTAGATCTTTCAACGTTAGAGGTGAAGAGGATAGATATGTGGCCTTTCTGGAGAGTTTCAAGGCTGATGATGCGACTGTCAGCAGCACGTGTTGTAGCCAGGGAGTAGACACTTCGTCTGTGCCCTCGGAAGCCAACTGGAATAACTCTCCTAGGCCAAAAACGGCACAATCCAACGGGAGTAATTGTACAATGCGGGAGGCCAGGCGAGTTGGTTCGGGTGAAAGGTCGAAAAAGAGTTTTGGGCAGTGCGGAAGGACTGAAAGGATGTGTCTCTTGGACGCAAGAGGTGGCACGGTAGTCCATGTAACGCTAGTCATTTTTTCACACGCCGCAGTGCTTAGAAAGTGTATCTTTTTCTCGGTACCTTTGGTTAACTCATTTATAACTGCTGCGAGAGTGGAACTGGGTTCCAGGAGGACGGAATTGCCTGCAGGAAGAGAGTCAATGATGTGGTGAGCGGCCAAAACATTTGCTGTCAGCTCCAAGATGTTACTGAGTTCAACCGAGCCAGATTCAGCAACCGATGGAATCTTCCACGTGGCAAGTGCAGAGGCACGAGACGAGATAGTATCAGTGAATGCGAGAACGTTGCCCACGTTGTCGACTTGTCCCGCGGAAACATAGAGATAGACGCCGTTAGAGATATTGATGGCGATTGGGACTGAATAGGTCGTGTGAAGAACCGGTCTTTTCCCCGTGATGCTTGGCGAGTTGATATGTTGAGCGGCGTAAGTCGGGGCATGCAGCGAGCCAGAAGAGGACAGAGCGATTGTGTCTTTCGGGAGATTGGCGCTTTGGATGATGGGGCGCCAGTGTGAGTTGAGACGATCGTTCATACTCTGTGTTGGAAATACACGAGGAATTAAAACTTGGCCGTCTTTGACTGAAATCTCCGTTTCAGTGGTCCATAGACGAGGCTCTTGGGAGTCGTGTATGCCCGGAATCAGTAGTCGCATGAAAGAACCCAAAACCTTATATTCAGACTCCTCAATGGTGTCCAAGTCCAGGAACTGAGAATGAGCGGACGGATGTTCCTGAGCCAGGAAATGACCTATCCCAATTGATGCCGCCTGTTCGGGGTTGGCTTGGAGCGCATCGTGCGTTACCCATAAGACATGGGGAGCCTGTGCAAAAAGTCCGAAAATTGTGTTGTATGATTTGGACGTGACCAGTCTAGACGTTGGCTCGTCAAGATCTGTCAGAACAATTGCACCTGCAATGTCAGTCGTATCTTCGTCCTGAAGAGCCTCAAAGGACTCTATGCAAAACACTTCCTTGGCCCAAGGCTGTAAAGCAGAGGCGATATTGTGCCATAATCTCGAAGTCCGTAGTGTTTTACCACCGACGACAAGAACACGGCTACCTTCCAATATCCCGAGTGCGGAGGGTTGCAACGGATGACGCAGTAGATCGATGGTTTCGTCCAATGCCTGGGTCACAAATAGCGATATGGCATCGCCTGGCCCATTGGCATCACGAGGCAGCAACGAGTCTACTCCCGAGAAGCCCACGTTGCGCAATAAACCATCCAGACTCACGCTGGAGATAGGACGTCCGATATCGCGCCCCGTACCGCTATTTCCTTCGGAGCCTAGTAGAACACCTAGGAAGATCCTGGACCAGACATATTCCTGAGTAGGTTCAGTGAGAATCAAGTAACCGCCGGCTGTCAGGACCTTTCTGAACTCTCGCAGCGCCTCTTCGCTGAAGGTAGCAGTTTGTCCATTTAAAAGGTATGAAGCGATGACAATATCAAATTTCTGTCCATTGAGGGCAGACGTGATAGCCGGCGGGTCGGTGTGTAATGTATCCACTGGGATATGGGTAAAATTCCTGCCATAATTGGGAATCTCCTTGGAAGGCGAATTCGTAACCAAGGTGTATGACGAAATCCGGTCGGCCAGATCACCGAAGGCATCGAACGAAGGACGCAAGTGGGCGGGGGCAATTTCGAGAACATTGAGCTGTGCAAAACGATGGGTAATACGGTCAACCACATTATGCAACCCATCGTTAATTTGTTGAAAGACAGAGTTGGTCTCCACAAACGATTGTAGCTGTCGCTCAAGGTCACCACCGGGCACTCGTCCTCGTATAACCTCAGGCAACTTTTTCGTGACCGCTCTCAATGCTTCAAAGTCGTCTAGGTGGGAGGTAATCGGCGCATTCCCACCGTTCTGCGAACCCTTGGAAGGACCAGCTTGGCTAAGTTGGGCCAGCCACGCAAACTCCCGTGACGTGTTATCAGAGAGGTATAAGTTGTTTGCAAAGAGAGTCTCAAGATATAAGATCGACTGATGTTCCATGTCCAATGCGGCTTGGTTGGCTATCTTCCGTTGTTGTTCGTTGCCAACAGTAAGGCCTTCGGTCATAGCGGGTTTCCACACGGTCTGGAGGAACAGTTCTCTGTCATCAGCCGCGGAGGTAGGACTAAACGAAGAGATCGTAAGTCCTTCAAGCTCGACTAACAACTTTCCGCTAACGCTGTCCGATACTTCAATATCGGTATGAAATGCGGGACGCCTAGTTGCGGTTGCTTTCTCAACACTTGTCACAAAGCTGTCAATAACAAGCAGAGAGTCCGAGCCGGAAACTGCTGACAGCCGCAGTGACATCCTTTCTACCTTCTGTGGGAGAAACACACGCCGCAATGCAGCATCGTCAGGTGCTGAAAAGGCCGCATACGCAGCTTGGATGCACCCCTCCACCAAAGACGGATTGAGCGTGAGGTGCTTTATAGTAGCGACTTGCTTGTTGAATAGTGCGGAGACCTTCTGCCATTTCCGCTGAAGTCTTTCCAGGCAGTTGAACGAGCCGGCGTACTGGAGTCCCATTGTCCCGATCGACTGGTAGAAATGGGGTATGTCAAGAGAGTCCAGGCATTTCTCCCGCGTCCGGATAGGAGCAGGATCCTCAGCAGGACCTGCACGCAATAGTGTGACATGCGCCGAGGCAGCTTTCTTCAGCACCTGGCTACCATCAGGCGGCCCAAATAGAACAGTAAACTCCGCATCAAGTGGATGATTCGAGGTGTCGAGTCGATGAATGGAGGTGATTATTTCGACACCGTGCGATCCGTCTGGGATGCTGATCGCATTGTGGATAACAAGGTCATGAAGCTCGATACAATCGGTGTTCAGGTCCACAGAGCCTGACGCCAGCTTCAAAGCCGCATCAACTGCCATGGAGCAGAACGCAGACGTTGGGAGAAGTGCCTGTCCCTGGAATCGATGGTCGCCAATCCATGGAACCTCTTCAAGGCGAAGGATATTTCGCCAACGAAGACCACCCTCATACAATCCACCAGGCAAGGGATGGCCGAGAAGTTCATGAGGCGGCGAGGCTCGAGTTCGAAACTCTTTAGACAACCTTGATTCACGCCAGTAAACCTGCGAGTGGTCCCATGGGTAGGCAGGAAGATCTTTCACTAGCTTCGGCGGAGGTAGGTCCTTGGGTCCGGAGGCAGTTGCGTAACCCTCGAGGTAAACGGCGGAGGGGCCGAAGTGAATCCACAAAGAGGCGAGCGCGTCCCCGAATGCGACCGTGTCGTTGCGTTTGCGATCAAGAACCCCGAAGTAGGGTAGAGGGTTGTCGCTGAGCTCCCGTAGCGTCTGCGATGCCGGACCCTTGAGCGCCGGATGAGGGCCAACCTCGAGTACCGCATCGAATGGACCGCACTCAATCATAGCACGCTCCAAAGCCTGAGAGAAAAGTACAGCCTGAGCCATGTTGTCTCTCCAGTAGACAGCGCTGAGCTCCTCCACTGTTGGATCACCATCGGAGCCGTACACACTAGAGATCCAAGTGCAAGACGACTGTGCAGGATCCTTCGGTTCGATTCTAGAAGTGTTCAAAGATGATACATACGGATCTGCACATGGCAGCATGTGATGAGAATGATACGCAGTATCAACTTGGAGCATCCGAGCAAAGGTTTTGCGGGCATCGAATAGCTCTTTCGCCTCATGAACAGCATCCAAATCACCAGACAAAGTAACACCGGTGGGCGAATTGCTGGCGGCGACGCCTAGGCGTGACTTGAACTGAACTTGATCGCAGAAGTCCTTGGCTTCGTCAAATCCCATACCGACTGCAAGCATGCCACCCTTGGCGCCATTTTTGCCTTCGGCTAGCTTGGCATACTTTCCTCGGTAGTAGGCAATTTTCATCCCTTCCTCCGCAGTTATAACCCCGGCAGCATAGGCGGCGCCGATTTCGCCGGAGGAATGACCTACGACGGCGGTAAAGTTGACACCGGATGCGTGAAGCAGATCCACCAAAGCAATGGCAATTGCGGTGCACAGGGGCTGCGACAGAGCGGCCTCGGCAACGCGTGAAGTGGCCTTTGGTGCCAGAATCTCGCTTTTCAGGGACCACTCAGGGCCGTCATCGAGCTCAGACAAACACTTTTCAAGTCGTTCAATAGTATCACGGAATAGTCTTGAGCTCTCGATGAGGTGCTTCCCCATGGTAGGCCATTGGGCACCTTGGCCGGTAAAGACGCCCAGTAGAGACGGTTTTTCACCTGCGAACGCTGGGGAGCGCGTGCCAAGTTCCGTTCCTGGAGTATTCTTGACCGATTCAAGCTTATTTTCCATCTGATCTGCGATGTCTGAGGCGGATAGGCCGCAGAAAGCAATCTTCACAGGCAGTTCGGATCGTCGTGAGTGTAGAGTCCATGCCAGATCCCGGAGGCTAACAGTCTGCTCATTTTGCCTCAAGAATGCTGCGTAGTTCTCCACAACGGATAATAGAGCTTTCTCATTATATGCAGACAATTCCAAAGGAAGTGCGAGGCTCTCGCCTTGGTGGGTGGCCACCGTGCTGTTTCCAGGTTCGTAGCTTTCCAAGATGGCGTGAGCATTAGTACCGCCGAAACCGAAGCTGTTGACGCTCGCACGGACAGGCGTTCCGGGTTTCACCGCTGGCCAAGGCATTGGCTCGGTAGGTACTGTCACTCGGTCATAGAACGGGACAACTGAAGGGTTGAGGTTGCTGAAGTGCAGGTTGGGTGGGATAACACGGTGACGGATGGCGAGTAAGGCTTTCATTATGCCCGCCATGCCAGCTGTTCCCTCCGTATGCCCCACGACAGTTTTAATAGATCCGACCACAAGCTTCGGATCAGCCTTCTTGTCGGCGCCGTCTGTTCCAAAGAAGGCATCGTGGATGGCGGAGGCTTCTCGTGGGTCACCAGCTTGGGTTCTAGTCTTCTTAGTAAAATATCATCCTGAGGGGCCTCTATCACATACCCAGTTCCATGTGCCTCAAAATATTGACATCGGTCGCTAGGATTAGACGGATCCAAACCGGCGCGACGATACGTATCTCTGATTAGTTCCGCTTGAGCTTGGGGACTCGGTAACGTAATACCCTTCGTGCGTCCATCCGAATTGACGCCCGTTTCACGGATGATAGCTTCGATATGGTCGCCGTCAGCGATAGCGTTGGACAGCGTCTTTAACATGAATGTTGCGAAGCCATCTCCGCGAGCGTAGCCGTCGGCGCTAGTGTCCCACATCTTCGACCTAGACGCCATCATGTGCATGTTGGACGCTGATATGAACAACTCTGGACCAAGCAGTAGATTCGATCCGGTGACACAGGCGATGCGGCTCTCACCGGCCCGTAATCCCTGAACAGCCTGATGGACCGCCACAAGACTCGACGAGCATGCTGTGTCGACGGTCAACGAGGGGCCGTGCCAATCAAAAAAGTATGAGATACGATTGGCATTGAGTGCGCTTGATGTTCCAGTAACCATATATTGCGAGAAGTAGTCTGGGTCACGCGCCTGCACATCCATGTAGTCCCTAATCATGAGACCGGCGTAGACGGAGGTATCACTCCCCTGGAGACCTTGCAATGTCAGGCCGGCGGCTTCCATAGCCTCATACACCATCTCGAGGAGGATGCGTTGCTGGGGGTCGATTGCCTCGGCCTCTTTTGGGGAGATATTGAAGAAGACAGTGTCGAAACACCGCGGATCTTCCTCGAGAAAGTAGGCGCCGTGCACATTGGTGTTTCCATGTTGCTCTGCGTATGGATGGTAGAAGCCATCGAGGTTGAATCGGGTGTCTGGGGGGGGTTTGGATAGATCTTTGGGGTCGCGAAGGAGGTCCCATAATTTCGAAGGGGATGACGCACCACCTGCAAACTTGCAGCTGGAGCCAATGATCGCGATCGGCTCGTTGGGAGACATCGTTCCACAATATTCAGTTAAAAATGACCAAGTCGTGCCAACCGAGCACTGAAGGGGCTGCGCGGTAGAAATCGGTCGGATCAGAATAGGTAGCAAAATCTTTCGATTGTCTGATCATGACTGGGGAAAACACACGATTCTCCCAGTGTACACTTAAATCTGTTGTACCATTTGAACACCACCGGTTCATAGCCGATATCATCAGTACATACTCCGTAAACGATGTAGCCGCAAGGCACGTGCGCCGCCCAGTGCTTAATCTGGGCTCGGAATACCGGTATAGGGCAGTCGAAGACGCCTGGCTAGGCGCCAAGAGCTTCACAGTATTCTCCGGCCAGAAAAAGTGGGTATACTACAATGAGCTTTGGCCATTGCGACATGCTGATCGGTGTAGTCGGGGATCCACAATAGGGCCGACCACCGACTGAACGATGATTGGCAGGCAAGTGACGCCAGTGCAGAAAACTAATCCAATCCAGTTAGTCTGCCGGAGAACATCCACCGGCGATGCCCGGACGCCCATGCAAGTCAGACGGTAATCTCCAGAAATGTGTCGGAATACCTACCGTAATGTCTCAGTAAAACAGTCGAAATCGTACGATCGAGACCTGAAGGCAGAAGGGCTATAAAGTTTCGTACAAACACAGTGAAGCTAAATCAACACAAATCGTCTATTCATCACACTCGCCGGAAGTATCTCGTCGCCTTGCTTTTCCCAAGATCATTTGGATTTTCTCAAAATGGCCGTTCTCATTGGACTCAAACTGCTAAGAGTCGCCCCTCTGATTACCTCCACGGCTGGGCTTATGTGCGCATGGGACCAGCAATTTGCCTTTTCGTCCTGGATCGACCGTGAAGTGCCTCAGGGGCCAGCCGGCGCAACCCTGCCGCATTGGTTTCCCGCCATTTTCCGCCAACTCATCTGGGTGGTCAGCATTCTGCACCCCCTGGGGGGTGTTTTGGGCTTGCTGAACGGCATCGGTAGCCCTGGCGCCTCGTTGGATGACCAAACTCGGCGATTGTACTTCGCCGGCGGATTGTTCGCTATCGGTCATCTCGTCTATGGAAAGTTCGCCATGCGCATTATCGGAAGCATCTGGGACAGCTCCCTGCCGGGCAAGACGAATTTGAGCGCCCTGCCCCCTTGGCTGCGACTGAACTGGTGGCGCATTCACACCAACAATCTCCCCGCGGTCTTCCTTTTCCTCGCCGCCTTGATCAACTCCATTGAAACGTGCTAGGTGGGCACTTGGTGGTGGAATCCGAAGTAGTTCCATATGGAACAAGGAGCGGAAAGGAGTGTGAAAATTTTGCTGATCCAGATGGCGGTGTTGACGGGTTTATTTGTGCAATGAGGGGTTAACGGCAAATTCAAAATTAGTATGAGCATGAAGTCAAGGGGAAATTCGTTGTGTCTAGTGTATCTAGTTCTTCACAGAATATTCAGTTCAATCAAGGTACTTCGTAATCTCGTGATTCTCTTCATCAGACTGTCTTCTTCGGCGGAGACGGTATCCAAAGCCCTAGACAGGAGAAGACCTCCTATTGCAGATTCAGAGACTGTGACATCGGAATGATTCTTTCTTTTCTCCGGTTGAACGGCTTTGATGATCTCGCCCATTCGGCTCAAGAGTTGGCGCGCCAGCTGCAGGATGAGAACAATCTGCAACGATGATGAATGTGGCAAGGAGAAGGACCCGACTTGAACCGACGGCATGTTGACATAGTCGTCTCGGGCTGTGACAGAAGAACGATCCAGACATCCCTGCATGTTGGCAAAGATGCGATCGTAAGTTTCAATGAGACGAGTGTAACATGATAGAATTAGAAGACATGAACCCTGATCAATGGGCGGCTCAGGTGGACCGTTTTCGTGGGTGCTCTCCGGAGTGCTTTCCGGGGTTTGCATTCGGGCTGTCTCGAGGTAGCGTGGATACCGTTTGTTGACGATCTCAATGAGCCGCTGGGACAAGTGAAAGGTCCGATCGATGGCAAAGTCCTTGTTTTTCCAGCTGAGTGGTTCGTCCAGGGATGCAGGAGGTTTTGGAACCGATGCTTCGTGGGCGTACAGGTCGACATTGAGGTCTGACAATTCGCGAATGGTCGCAATATGGCACGCCGTCTTCGGCGCATCCACAGTGTCGCTTACTGGCGACGATCGGGAAGGGGTGTTCATTGTTGGAACCGGATGCTGCGACTCCATCATGGACCACTCCTGATTGAATGTTTGCTGCCAGTTTGCAGGGGGGGTGGTTTGAATGGGACCGTTCGCGGCGGCAGGCCACATCCAGTCCGCGGTGGCAGGAAGATCGGCTTCACTAGGGCCCACATTGTACGACTCCAATTCTTGTGATGCAGGAGAAGGATAGCGACCGGTGGGTACAGCCCAGGGAGTACTCTCCATGAATTGAGTCTGCAGCAGGTTGATATCAACGTCGACGCCGGTGAGGGAAGGTTGGCTCATGTATGCACCAAACGGCGGGGGGGTTGGCTCGTTCGCCTGGTCTGCGTGTTGGCTACCCGCAGAGGAGGCGTCATATTTCTGTGGTCTCTGTTTCTTGAACTGGTTGGGAGACCCAGATTTGCTCCAGCTGCAGGTGGCTTTGGCTTTGGCGCACCGTGCACACGGGCCACTCCCTGAGTGGATGCATCGCAGTTTTTGACCATGACAGCGGTCGCAAGCGTGGCGCTGATTAGGTCTAGCCATGGTAATCAATGTGGTTGATGGGATGGAGACATGAGCTGGAAGTTGACAGCAGGAGTCGTGGTGGAAAAAAAATAAATGATGGATCCGATCGAGGATCGGAGGATGGCGTGGAGAGGGGCATTAAAGGGGACGGGCCGATCAGTGGGTCACGTGGGTCACGTGGGTCAGCACGCCGAACTGGAAAATTCCGGTCACGTTATTCCATGGTCGAACAGGGACCAGTGGGTCATGTTTATTGCCTGGTGAACTCAATCATCAGTCAGGGTTTTTAACACGTGGAATCTTCCAGATTGACTTGGTTGAAAGAGAAGTTCCCTGTTTACTAGGTATTTCATAACATGCATGCATTAGTCTTTTTCTGTAATTCTTCGGATAAGTCTTCGGTGGTAACTAACATAGCCAAACATAGCTTCTGCCATAGTTCAACTAGAATACTGCATATAAAAAATTGTCAAGGCACTGTATATATTATGTATTAATCTCGATTATTGTGTAATTCGTTTCTTGATATTAACTTTGGAAGTCATAATGCAACTATCTTCATATTCCAGAGGTAGTATATTCAGTCATTAACCTACATCGGATATATATATAGTCTACTATCACGCCCACAATCACCACCGGGGAGAAGATATTGCTGACACATCTGATAAGATAATGAGGATGCACAATGTTATAACTCACAATATTGCAAATACTTTATCTACAGAATTACTACAAAAGACTCCAGTAGATGATAATCAAACCGTTGGTGTATATACCTAGCATACCAACCTAATACACCCTCCCATTCGCAATCTTCCCCCCCAAGCTCTCCCTCTGCACGCCAAACTTCCCATCCAAGTAAGAAAAGGTCCTCTGCATAGAATACCCAAACGCGCCAATCTTCGCCTGCAACCCCCCAAACACCACATCCTCCGCCACCCACTCCTCCTTCATGTGCTCCGGCAAGTGGCTCAAGCTCCGCAGGACCTTCCGCGTCGTCGTCTCGGGATCGAAGTAAAAGCTCGACCCCGCCCCTGTCACTAGTACGGGACATTTGACCTGATGCAGCAACTCGCCGCCGCCAGGTTTAGCAAGCGTATAGTCCAACATGCGGCGGATGACCTCCGCGTCGGAGGCCCGCCCCATCGCCCAGCGCATGTGATTGAACTCCCACCGCGTCTGGAACGTCCAGCCTGAGATGGCGCCGATCACGCTGTCGAACACCCCGTCGGAGAGGTACCCGCCGCTGTAGAGCTTCCACAGCCAAGCGGGCATGCGGCCCTGCGCGAACGACTCCATGGAATAGAACCCATCAACGCTGATGCAGGCGCCAATGCGCGGGTCCAGCGCCCCGCGGAGGGCATAGTACCCGCCCATCGAGGCGCCCGTGATCCCGATGTGCTCGAGGTCGAGGTTGTACTCCGGGTGAGCACGACTGAACTCCCAGAGGTGATCGAGGACGCGGCCCACGACGACTTCCCAGTCCGGTCGCATGGGCAACTTGTCTCGCCGGAGGACGACACCCTGGCCCGGGCCGTCGAAGGTGAGAACCGCATAGCCGAGACTGGGGCCGACGGAGGCGTTGATGAAGTAGATTTCTTCCTGCGTGGAGTCCCCGCCGCCGGTATTGATCAGGATCGGGGTCTTCTGGCCGTTCGTAAGGCGCTTGTCTGCCGGCGGGAGGTAGAGATATCCCGGGAGGGTGATCTTGTTCTCGTAAGGGATGTCGAGGAAGTGTACATCGCCGTCTAGGTACTTTGCTCCGCGGCGGAAATCGTCGATGGCGCGCTCGATGGTCGGTAGGACGCGCTTGTCGTGGCCGATAGGGCCTTCGTTGAGCATGAACTGCGCTGCGCGCAGGTAGTTCGATGCGCGCAGGTACGCCCGTCGCGCGGCGATGCGGTCACCGGTGCGCTCAGCTTCCTGGGCGATTTGCTCAACTTTGGTGCCGACTTCGACCCAGTTGGTGTACCAACTTTCTGGGTCTTGGTCTTTGATTTTGGAGGCGGCGTCGAGGATTTCTGCGATCTCGCCGCCCTCGAAGGGGGTCATGGCGAGGAGACGCAGAAACTCGAATTGGAAGAAGGGGGACTTGAAGAATTGGAACATTGTGGCGGGCGAGGGGGCGACTGTGTCTGAAAAAAATTGAATGATGGCATAATCTATGTTTTATCTGGTTAATACGCTGGGTGTTTCCGTGTTTCTCACTAGGTATGCAAATGCTCGGGGGTCGTTACTAGTGTCGGGGGTCGGAGTCGGCGATGGTTTGCAGGGTTGGGTCCCTCGGAGAAAGTACTAAGCAGGTGCGGTTACGGTGCAGAAGGATGAATTGTCGCCACTTCTTCTGCCGCGGGGTATTACGACCCCAAGGGTTTCTGGTCAACTGGTTGAGATGGCTATCTAGGCTTAACGGACTTGGGTAATACGAGCAAGTGGAGCAGATGTGAAAAGAACGACTTGGCGGTTTTAAATTGCGAATCCATTACATGATATATACAACAAGGATCGTAACTATTGTGTAAAGTTTGAACATCACGCATCAATCATAGCTCTTCATCGCGAAGCAAGCGCCCACTTGATAGCCTTCATCATTACCATGACCTCCATTTGTCGCTTCTCCGCGGCTTTCAGCGACAGCTCGGCGACGTCCATACTGCTATTATCTCGTAGCCGATCTAACCCATACTCGGCCCCCATAAAGTACTCTTGTTTGTCGTATCGAAAAGGCGTGCTCGCGGCAGACGTTTTTCGAGTTATGTTTTGGATTGCCCGGCTAAGTAGACGTAATAATTGCTCGGCGAGCTGAATGGTCATCAAGGCGTGGACACTTGTTTCGACGGGGAGGGAAAATTCGCCAATGCGAAGAGCGGGGAACCGGGGAAGACGACCATCCCAGGATCGCTCGGGGCAGGGAGAAGGAGTGTCGATTGATAGTAAAGAAGGAGGGTAGTTGGAGGAACACGAGGAAGAGCTGTGATAGCGGGGACAGGGCAGGGTCTTTTGCAGCGGTTCGAAAATGGCGTAGTAGAGATCCAGAAGGCGCAAATACAACGACAGCACCAGAAGCAAATTGCCTTGATCCAAGGGTTCTATGCCGCTGCACACCCCGTCCCCGCGAGGCTGGGGCGAAACCATCTCCAATGCCTCCACAACCTGTGCAGTAATGGCAAAAGTTTGATCAATGCAGACAGTTCGATTGTGATCTGTCGGGTTGTCGTCATTTAGATATGACGAGTGTTGCGCGACCAGTGGGAATACGGCGGCATGGTTGTAGATCTTGATATTCAAATCGGAGATTTTGCGAATCCACTCCTCGTGTGGCGAACAACGGCCAGCCGTTACAACAGGAGGAGCTGAATTATCTGACGCTGTGCGGTCGGAGACGCCCTGGTTGCTCAAGGAGCTCCCTGGATTCGTATAGAACTCGTCGGCATTCAGCATAGAGAAGTCCATATTGCCCGGCGAAATTGCCACGCCTGGATCCAAGCATGGTAGGCTGTTCTCAAAGTCATATCCAACAGGGTCTGTGCCTTGAGAAGCCCACTGGGCGGTTGTCAGATCCCAATGCAGAGGACTGTCTAGCGTCACATTTTCTAAAGTGTCGTCAGTTACGAAACCATCCATGGCTCTCTCATAGGGCCGGGACGCACCGTTGAGCGTAAAGTTATTATTGACCCCCGACGCGGAAAACTTCGCATCGCCATCTTTCTGCTGGCTCGTTTTATGCATCCGACGAGAAGGACTGAAAACACAAGTCACCCCCATTTTCTCGCAACGATCACAACTGCCGGCCCCCGTGCGCTCACAGCGGAGCTTTTGCGAATGGCATCGGTCACAGGCGCGGCGCAATTGAACCAGCTCCGACGGAGCCGGCTCAATTGTGTTGGTCATTCCAATCAAGCAATTGGTCATTCTCACGGAACATGGAGTCGATGTATGAAATATGGCAGATCACCCAGAGTTAAATATTTAAAGATCGTTCCGGGAGACTGAGGGCATCCCATACGAGGCTGGAATGCCAAGTGACGCATTTCTCCGATAGCACAGAATTAACCAGAAGAACCCAGTTGGTTGATCGGAGGGTGTCAGCACTAGATGAAATGGACGTCTAATCATCTTGGGAGTTTGGATTGACTTGAAAGTAATGTTGGTAGTTCGATAATTAGTTTGTTCGTATAGGAAATTGTGAAGAAAAGGTAAAAACATGGTGGGACATCAAGTAAAACAGACTTAGGGCATTGCAATGCCCACTAACAAGGAGTTTATAGTGCGCTAGACAAGAAAGAACCATGTTAGACGCTAGGTACTGTAACATTCGTGTTTCTGCATGATTTTACCCCAATCCCTGTCGGATTGAACTAATCGCCCCCTCCAAGCACCTCATTTCTGATTCACTTGCTCGCTCGAAAAGTCCGCCAGCACGCCAAAATTGGGATAAGTGGGCACACCGTCAGGGTTGAGATTCACCACTCGGCCGTTTTGGACGTACGATTCTACCCAGCCGAGGGTCGCCACGATATCCTTGCCGCTCACGTAGGGTTCCTCCTCCTGTTGGAGGATCTTGAATTCTGGATCTTCCAAGACAGAGGTAAGCTCGTCGAGACTATGCAGGTAGAATTCGACAGTCACGTCGTGTTCATCGATTGCCCAGCTCCCTCCCAGGGTGCGATTTAGGTTCTTCACGGTGGTCCTGGCGGTCTCCGGATTAAAGAGCTAGACATCAATTAGTAGGATTCGACATGGTTTGTGTCAGCCACGTACCATTCCATAGGCCTCGATACCGTGCCTGGCATGAATACGAGCTGCTCTAGCACAGTGTTCCTTGGTCGCCCATTGATGGAATTGCTCCTCACTGAGTGACGGATGGCGATTGTGCGAGACCGCAATGCGCAGAAGGCGTTGTTTGACGGACATGATGTTTCGTAGGATGCTTGGAATTAAACGTGAGACCCGGAGTGAGTCCAATCGACTTGAACTATTATATCATCTTTACTTCGTGAATATATGCGACTACACACTGTGCACTACAGAGAAGCTGCGTCGAGTTCCGACCGAACAAGTCCGCCGATGCCGATGCTGCGATTTTCTTGAAGCTGTTATCTGCAACATAGAGCGTCGGTGGTGCGCGATCGGTCATGGTTGATCCCTGTCGTCCAAAGCACCACATACTGCCTCGGTATTTGGTTAGGGTTGATATGGCCGAGATTTCACTATCCCGGAACTGGTGCCAATACCCGAACAATACGATTGATCAAACCCTAATTTTTTTTATTTTATTTTATCTTATTTATTTTTTTTCAACGGGAGCTAATTTTCTGCAGAATGGGCGTGAGACACATGTTTGGGTCGACTATATTGGCAGTTCGCCAGTCCTTCCCTGATCTATACGAACTGAGGGTCCAGCCAGATATGCCCATTGATTACGACCACAGTCAACTGGCGACTAACTATTTGTTCCGCGGCAAGACAACTTCTGTAGAGAACGCTCTAGACTCGTTTCATTGCTCTGGAACTAAATGAACCATACTAAGCTAACGCCATCCGCAACTCTTGCCCCACAAACTCTTCATACTCAGGCCGATATTCTGACCCACTATCGGTAACATTCACCACTTTTCCATCTGCCACATACACTTCCACCCAACCTAGGCTCGCCACCACATGCCGACGGCTGAGATAAGGTTCTTCAAGATGGTAAAAACTGGCAAACTCCGGATCCGAAGCAATACCCCTCAAAGTCTGCAGATCAGGAACGTAGAGCTCGACTGTCATGTCGTGTTGGTCGATGCTCCAGTCGGCGCCGAGCGAGCGGCGAAAGGCGTCGAGTGCATCTCGCGTGGATTGCGTGCTGTACACCTATAATAGTCTATGAGTCTAGGCTCGCAAACTCGGCCAACGATGGTGGGGCGAGATACCTGATGATACTGCAAGGTTCCATGTTTCGCATGCAGGCTTGCAGCTTGCTTGGCGTGCAAGGCAGTGCCAAAATAGTGGCAAGATTCCTCCGTGCAGGAATCTTTGCGGTAATGCGCTAGACTGAGACGGAGGCGACGCTGGCTCATTTTGGCAGGAGGTTGTTTGCTTGGCGGGTCAGATGTCAACCTCGTTTCGTCCGTCTTTTTCTGTCTTTTGTATTCTACGCCTCATCCGGTTCGGGATCAATAAAAATCGCCCTAACGGCTACGAACGGAGCTAGCTGCCCCTGATACGATGCCAAAGTCCACTAAAGGCCACTAATGCAAGTGCTTGAATCCTCTAGCCCTAAATTCAGTAGGTTCGGTGGTTCGGTGGTCGGAGGTGGAGCTGTTCGTGTTGCTGTTTGTCAGCGCCGAAATATGTACGCCGTACTTTCGGTGCTCTATAATCAACTTCGCTGTACCTGCTCCAGACCATGCAATCATTTCTTTGTGGGAATTTGCTTCTCTGCCGAAGCTTAGAAATCAAATGTTGACGGGGGCCTTTTTCTTGTCCGCGTTCCCTTCGCTCCAGCGTTAGCCATCCAAGAATCTGAAGCACGCATCTCAGCATCTCACCATGGCGAGCACCAATACTTCGACGGAGGCCAGTCTCAAGGACCTCAGTGAGAAGTCGGTCGAGGATACGAGCCCTACTGAGGATAGCGATGACCAAGAAGATAAAGAAGAAAAATTGAGTCCAATGAAGACATGGTTGCTGGTGTCGTCGCTTTGCGTATGTGTTCTGCGCAAAATCGAAGTATACACCACTGACAGCTTCTAGCTTTCGACTTTCATTGCCGCGTTGGAGCAGGTAAGCGCTACTCGATAAAAAAGAAGAATAAGGAGAAAAGAAAGGCTAACTGAATAAGACCATCATCTCGACCGCCGCCGAGTCCATCTCACGCTCCCTCCACACCAGCGAACTGGAATTCACCTGGATTGGAACTGCCTATCTTCTGCCCGCTGCTGGTATACATCCTACCCAATAACCCATATCCATGTGCCCGCGTTAACGATATACAGCTTCAACACCACCATGGGGGAAGTTGAGCGACATCTTTGGCCGCAAGGTAAAGTGATATGATCCACACATCTGCAGTAGCAACACTAACTCGTCTCTAGCCTGTCCTCATGATCAGCATTATCGTCTTCTTTATCGGATCATTGATTGGCGCGCTAGCGACCAACATCGACATGCTCATCGCGGGGCGCGTCATCCAAGGCACAGGCGGCGGTGGTATCCTTGGTCTGTCTGCCACCGTCATCGGCGACGTCTTCAGCCCTCGGTAGGACTTGGCACCTCATTATCTACAACCATATACTGACCGTCGGACAGTGAACGAAGCAAATACTTTGGCGTGCTGGGCGTGACCTGGGGCGTCGCCTGCGGTCTGGGTCCGATCGTCGGCGGTGCATTCTGCCAATTCGTGAGCTGGCGCTGGTGCTTCTGGATCAACTGTACGTGCTACCTAGACGATTGAAATCTTCCCTCAACCTAATAATAATCTCCAGTACCGGTTGCTGGCGTGGCGGGCGTGCTCGTCTTCTTCTTCCTGGAAGTGCACACCCCGCGCACCCCCTTCCTCGAAGGCATCCTCGCAATGGACTGGTTGGGCACAATCACCATAGTGGGAGGAACCGTCATGTTTCTCCTAGGGCTCGGCTACGGCGGCGCGACCTACCCCTGGAATTCAGCCACGGTGATCTGCCTGATCGTGTTCGGCATCGTGACAATCGTCGTTTACGCGCTGATCGAATGGAAAGTCGCAAAATACCCCATCACCCCGCTCCGTCTGTTCAAGTCCAGCTCCAACCTCGCCACCTTCGGCATCGCCTACATCCACGGCCTCGCCTACATCGCAGATCTCTACTACCTCCCGCTGTACTTCCAGATCGTCCTCGGCGCCACCCCCATCCTCTCCGGCGTCTACCTCCTCCCTGTAGCAGTCACGCTCTGCGTCGCCTCCACCCTAACAGGAGTCTACATCAGCCACACCGGCCGCTACCGCCCGCCCATCTATTTCGGCCTGGTCATGATGATCCTCGGCCACGGGCTGTACATCAACCTGCAGCCCTACCCGAGCTGGCCACGAATTATCATCTTCCAGATCATCGCAGGACTCGGCCTTGGCCCGCTCTTCCAGGCGCCCATCATCGCCATCTTCTCCCTCACCAAGCCCGCCGACATCGCCAGCGCCGCAGCGACGGTGTTCTTCGCGCGCGACATCGCAACCGCCATGTCGATCGTCTTCGGCGGCGTGATCTTCCAAAACCGCATCCGCGCGTACAAGCGCGACATCGAGGGCGTGGTGTCCCCTGCTCTGACAGAGCTGATCACGTCTGGTGGTGCGACCACTGCGTCTGGTCAGATTCGCGCGTTGCCGGATGCGGCCCGCAATTTGGTCAGAGATCGCTACAACACTGCGCTGCGGAGTGAATGGATCTTCTATACTGCGCTTTCTGGGGCGGCATTGCTGCTGAGTGTGTTTATCAGCAAGCAGATCCTTTCGAGGGACCATAAGATGAATAAGACGGGTCTCGATGTGCAGGAGTCAAGTCGGCTGGAAGAGCTAGAGAAGGAGAAGAAGACCTCGCCGGATGATTCGGTGTAACCTCAGTTACTGAATAGCTTGCTTGGGGTTGTTCTGTCTTTGGTGTTCTTTACGTGGAAGGTCTGATGGGAAACAGTCAGAAGGGTTATAAATATTAATGATCTTGAGGCCATGGAAGAGGTTCCAAGAGGGTGAAATACAAATTGGTATGGGAAAGCCGTTCAGGCCCTCTAACTCACCAGACATGCTGACCGATTGCAGTCAGTCTACAGTTGTTATATAGACATATATTTGTTATTAGCAGGAACGATTTGAAATCGGGTTAAGACAAGACTTTTTGGTGACATTCAACTTGAATGGTTTGCCACGGTCCTGGTCTAGTTATTGTTATTGTTCCCACACAAAGCCCATTTCCATAGCTTTTATTAGAGGAAATATCAGTTGTAATGACAGCATGACACGACTTTCATAACTACCTTGTATCTGAACTAGTGGGAGCGAGAGGTCTTAGTAAATAATTGAAGTCGTTCGAGGTTATCCGGGATTTATCCAGCCGAGCTCCACGCAAAGAAGACAGCTCACTCAACCCGGTAATAAACAAGAAACATCGAGCAACATATAAGAAAACAAAAAGAATCATAAATAAAAAAGCAAAACATACAACAGCCGGGATTCGCATGTGGTCACCCACCATACTACTAACCGGCCGGCGTGTGGCTTAAGTACGGCTGAGCGGACGGGAAGCCCTGTTCTCCACACCCTATGGTCGTATGTACCAGGAGCTACAGTAAATAGTATCATATGCTTCAATGGAACGCTAAACCGTGCTCTGTGCTCTGTTCTCTTGAAGTAAACCATACCTCAACTACCTGCCACTCATTATTCTGCCTAGAATCTACAGACCCAGCCCTTCACACAGTCTAATAGCAGACATGACCGATATAATGACCCCTCGGTACCATGGCAAACACTGTAAAATCCAACCTGGTTATTCACTTTGAAAGACATCGTATGGCGACTTGTTCTCCAAGTAAGACGAGAAGGGGCGCGCCATCCGTCGACAGGCTGACAGAAAAGTCATCCTAGCCGCCGGAGGCTTCGGCGACTCTATCATCGCAAGCATATAGTAGGTCGAAGGGAACAGCTCTGCGAACAGGGATAGAGTTATGTATGCCACTATTGTCCATATGGTATATCCCCTGATTAACATTTTGTAGAGCGTTATTTCGGCATGGTGTGTTCCCGAATGCAAGTCGGGCAGTGGTTCGTTCACGGTGTCGTATGTTGTCACGCATCTGGCCTGAAGGCATTTCGTGGATGCTAACTGGACGCACCTAAGGCATGTCGGTGGTCATGCGAAAAAAGCTGGAGGTTGGGGATAGTCTTAACTCTGTTGAATTCTGTGACAATTCAGATAACGTCTCATGTCAGACATCAGGGCTGGGGACGGGACTGGAATGACAACCACGACGTTGGCAGGAGCGGTTTCGGGCACAGCAGGAGCGGCCGTGTCGGTCCGGGTCGCTCGGACAGCCACGGCGTGAGCGCCGGTGACACAATGACGCGAGACAAGAAAGACATCTAGAAGCAACGTGCATTGTCAGCTAAATATTCAAGCCCCTTGAAAACTTTCCAAGACACACAGTAAATCAAGTACAGAAAGCTAAAAGACCATGGCTTAAGTATACAAGTCAACAGGGTGCAAAAGTGTCACTCGGCAAGCCGATTAGTTGCTTTGTGAGTCGAACTACTCCATAATTATCCCACCGAACTCCCACAAGGTACAAACAGCTGCATGGAGCAGTCTAAAGCTAGTCACCCCTGTTATTGCATGAAATAGGACACACGGGATGGTTGGGACTGGTGGTTGAAGCGAGACTCACCTTCACAACGTAGATAATAGTGGGAAAGAGAGCTGCAGAAGTAAGAAAAGGGGAAATGACAGAGGCTTATGAAAACTCTACGTGAGGTTATATGGGGACTTCATTCATTACTCTATGGAAGGCTATAGTCAACCCGGCCTATCATTATAACTCAACCTGACATCATTCACAGTCCTGTATGTAGCCTGTCCGCCAAAATAGATAGCATCATAAATGCTGCAGTCGTATCTTCCTAATAACTATCACAACATGGTAACATCCTTAAGACAGCGAAGGCTTTTAGGTCATGACCATCGAAAAGAAAATCTTGTAGCAGTCGAGTACATCACCAAAACCAATGCTATTAAGAACAGGTTACCTAGCCTCTATAGACCGTTCGAACACCCACAGTCTCTGTTCTTGACAACTATCTTGATCGAAGTATATTTAGATTGCGTAGTGGTACAGTCCGGACCGGCAAAAACTTAGAGAAAAAAAAAAAAAAAAAACCACTAATCCCGTGACTTACCCTCGCTGAGAAAGCAGAATCGGACATGGGGCACATTCCAATCATCCGGGTAGTCCTGCGCATACTGCAAGATATCCTGGTAGGCCAGTCCATCAATGTTCAGTTGTTTTTCATTGGCGCCATGTGCGCGCAGCAGCTCACAGGATTGTAGCTGGCAATTGCGGGCCGCCTTATGCAATGGCGTTTCCAGGAGGAGCGCGTCCTGCGCATTAATTGAGGCACCCTTCTTCAGGAGCAGGTCTATCCCTTCCAGCCAGCCTTCAGCAGCTGCAAGATGCAAAGCAGTAGTGTTTTCTAACATTCCGAGGTCAGGATCTGCTCCCCTGTCGAGGAGTAGCTTCGTAGACTCTGGCATTTTGTGGCTGACGAACATATGTATTGGGGCCTTGGCTGAACAGCCCCCGTTTGGTTCGATAGTAACATCAAGTGAAGGTTTATACTCGAGCAGCATTTGCAGCAATGCGTGATTTCTATTAATCCCTGCTTCGTGAATTGGTCTCCAACCCTATAATCGAGGTTAGAAGGAGAAACAGCTATCGGTGCGATAGCGATAAGACGGGCAACGTACATGGTGAAGACTTCGACAGTTCACATCCGCGCCATGCTCAAGTAGAATCATCGCGGATTTCCGATCATCCCTCATACAGCAAAAATGCAGGGGAAAACGCCCGGCGCTGTTGGCTTTGTTTGGATCCGCTCCATGGTTCAGTAAAATCTCGACAATGTGGCTGTGAGATCGACTCGCTGCCCATATTAACGGGGTGCGCCCGCCAATCCAGTCTGGTCCCAATCCCTCGGACACATTTCGACTGAACTGAGCCATGTCCACTTCAGCGCCGTGGTCAAGGAGCATTTTGGTCATGTTGGCATTGCCATGTTCGGCGGCAACAGAGAGCGCAGTCCGCCCATCTCGGGAACTCCGAGAATTGACGTCAATTCGATCTAGCAGTAACTCTGCAACCATTGTTTTACCGGCTCGGACGGTTGAAAGAAGGTTCTCGGTGAGCTGAGGATCAGTGGGTATAATGGGCACTGATTCTGCAATGGAAAATAAGTCACTGCCGGCCATGGTCAACTGTTCGGATTCCACCGAGGCCATCCATTTCATGACAGCGGAGCCGGTATCGTCGTCAAATATTTGCTTTGCGTCGTAGGGTGGAGCAGCCTGGCCGGGGGTTCTGATTGTAAGGATGCTATGTTCCGTGAGCACTCATCGATTCTAACGCTAGCCTCGAGGCTAGAACAAGGCACTCACAAGGTGACGCTACCCATTGCGGCAGATAGGATGGATCTCGTGCGCTGGAGCTCATACACAGATTCCAGTATACTCTTTCTTTTGAAATACCACAGAAAAGACCGACGTTTCGACACAGTTGATAAATTCTTTCCATCCTCTTGCTTGTCCGCCTGTCCACTACCTTGGCTGAACGGACCAACTTTGTCCAAAACTCTTCTGCAGCTATGCTCGCAGTTCTCTATAAGACTCGGTAGACCAGCCATTGCTCTTCTAACCTCGTCATCTTGGTCAACAATCACCTGTGTTTCAGGCGAGTCTAGAGCCGACTGCAAATTTGACAAGATAGTACTCAGTGACTCCATGTCATTGACCAGGTTGAGGATTTCCAGTGGCGCATTTTTGATCTTTGAGAGAGCATCATATAGCTCCGTGGAGACCGTCGCTGCTACTCCGGCAACCTGAATTACCGCAGCTGCTGTTCCGAGCTCGGCCATTCTGTATCCCTGGTTGTCTCTAATCTAGGGTGGCTCACAAAGCACAATTTGCTCCTATATGTGTATGACCGCGTGCGTGGGCACGCGGAACTCTACGATACCAACTTCAGCCCCAGCTTCGACTCACCGTCTCGTGTGCGAAGCTGTAAGCGATATGCCCCGCGCCGCGTGGCCAATTATAACAACAGCCTGGCGACGTTCTGGCAAGCTCCGTGGGGACGGGTGCTGATCCCATCCGTGCAGGTTAATGATCTGAGGCCGTAGTACTAATTGAGTAGTGACATAGTCACTTTAGGCTTTTTCCTCCCGAATGACATTCATGTACCCACTTGAAATCTTATGGGTAATTGGCGGTCTACTATATTGACGGCTTTTTATGGTTGGAAGCAGGCACTGACCACGCTTAGCCATTCGATCATCCATTCTCTCCCAGTTTTTCACCATCCCTATTATCCTCAAGATTAGGAGTATGGGATCAATTATTTCAAGTCACCAAATTTAGGTTAAAAAGTTCATTTGTGGAAATCACCAGAGCATTCAGTTACCACTATTCATATTAGCATGGATTTGTATTATAAACCAATAATGACCTTGAATATTTATAACCTGATCAGGTTCTGTCGAATTAGCAAATATTTCTACTCAAATGGCTGATATCCAGTCGAAACTTGTATTATAATCTACTGTGGAGGCCAAATGCTACACTCCCGGTATGGTTCGATTGAATGGATCTAGATGATTCAGGTTTTAATCTGTCCAAGTACTATCACCCAATATGATTAGCAAAGCCAATGTCTTTCAACGGTGAATAAACCTAAGACAACAAGGCAACGCCGGCAGAAGAAGCTGAAAAAGTACAATCATCCCGATATAGGCCGAGACAAGCGACGCCACGCTGCCATTCCTTCTGAGCCGAGCAACCTCCAAGGCCAAAAGATCCGGAAACAATCCTACTGCCAATACGGCGCATAACATTGGTGTTTTGGCCTGCGCCTTAGGGGGTATGAGCTTTTGCAACCGAAAAGAAAGCCCTGGTAAATCAGCGGGGTGATTAGCACTGTTATTACCGGCTCTCTGCTTATCGTAATAACACATGAGTATTAGGCATATCATTTAAGAGGGCCAGCGGGTGTTGACAAGGTCTCGCAGTTATCATCAACCAAAGGTTATTGGGTAGGAAAATCATTCAAAATATGTCTCGTGGCCAATAGGAATATCAAGTACAATAGGCAATCTGAAAATTCCAATAGATGTTCGAAACAAAAATCGAAGTAATATCCATGTCATGTATATATTTCGTAACATGATTGCGGCAGAATCGACCCTTGATATCCACTACCACACAACGAAAATCATTACACTCGCCTATGAACTCAGAACCCGGCAACGACATATACTTTTGTCATTTAGATCTAGCGAGATTAAGTTCGTTCCAATATCGAAAGCCCCTGAGTAGCTCAGAGGGGATCAACGGCTCATGGGCAGAAGCCAAACATTAAGACCCTCCTAATGTTCAAGATACTTTTGTGCCAAATGAAAGTCAGGTATCCGTCTAGGAAGAGGCTGCCTAAAACATCTTGTAAAACAGATCTTGAGTCCAAAAAACTATCAGATGTCGTTCTGTCTAGTTTTTGGGGACTTCAGCTCGAGACACGAAGTTTATCAGAATCCTGAAGATAATATCAAATCATCGGCTTGCCGCTACATCAGAACGTCACCCTTTCATGATAACAAGCTTACCGGCACGACTAGACAATGTCCAATTCAACCCAGTTCTCACGGACGCCGTTCCTTTATATCAGGGGCCCATCCAAATCGACTTCCTCGCGTCGTCTGCGCACGAGCAGTTTCCCCTGGGGGTCCGCGGAGAGAAATGTCCCATACCGACGAATTTCCGATGTGCACCCATCCGCGAGTTTCCAGTCATACTTCAGAATGAGGTGACAAAGGAGAACCTTGACCTCCATAGCAACGAAGAAACGTCCCGGACACGCGTTTTTCCCCAGTCCCCACCCCAAATGGTCTGCTGACATAGAAGCCAGCTGAGCAGTTGCCTGGTGCCCTGGAACTTGGCGTAAACGCAGGAACCGGTCGGCCTGGAAAGAGCGCGGGTTGGGATACAGATCGGCATCAGTCCACATGTGCATGTTGGAGATCTCAAAGGGTACGTTCTTGGGCACGATGCCGCCGTCGGAAAGATGGATATCGCTCGCGGCCGTGCGCCGTATGCCGGCTATCATTGTTAGATTCCAATTATGAACGGATCACCGATTTATACATATACTGGGATTGAGTGAAGCAGGAAGAGGGGCGGTCCAAAAGGAGTTACACCCCAGGGGCGTTCTAGTGCACAACTTACTAATTCCGACAGGTTTCAGCCGCTGGCTCTCTTTGATCATGCTATCCATCAGCTGCAGCTTGACGATAGTGGCCTTTGTCCAGCCGTGCTCGGACACTACAGCCATGATCTCCAGCCGCAGCGCATCCATCAAATCACTCTTTCCCGCGATGTCATACAGCACTTGCATCAAGAGGTCTTTTGTCGTGTTTACGGCCCCCAGAGTGACCGCGAGCTGGGTAACCCCCGGGTTATACGGACGTCCTCGGGCACATTCCTCCATCCACTCGAGACCATCATGGTAGCTCGTGGACTGCTCTGTTCCCGCTTGTTGCGTGGCGGTGGTTTCGTCCTTTCGAGCTTGTGAAGCTGTTGAGACGAGCTCGTTCGCTCGCTGCACCTGCGCCGAGAGCAGTTGACACGACGGTAGGAATCGGGCTGCCAATCGCCGCGCCAGCCGGGGCCACCTCCAGAGCTGCTCGGCAGCCACCATGGCAGTCAGCGAATATTGGACGGTAATATCTATCCATTCGGAGTTGCGGCATAACTGACGTCCGGCAAACGCAGCTGCTGTCAAATGCGCAATCATCTGCACGGCTGTCGATTCCACCTGAATAGGTCTCCAATCTGGTTTGTTCTACTGTCAACCTCTGCACTCCGAGTTCCCCCTGGTTCATGGAGCCATGTTAATTCATACGTACTCGGATCATCGCTGCACGTCTCTTGCACCACACGACCGGATTCTAATGATAGAGAACTGAAGACATGACCTGTGCCATGGTACGGTTAGAGTGGAGAAGCCTTCTGGTGTCGACTCTAGGGGAAAAGATAGACATATAGATAGGCAAGAGAGAATTGGAAATTATGTAGATAGAAAATCACTAACCAGCGGACTTGGAGCAGCATTTCTTGGCCATGCCTTTGACCAGCTGAAGCTCTACCAGACTCCCTGCGTTGAATGGCTCAAACCCGGGTATATTGCTATGAAACTCGTTTGTCGAGGAGGACACTGTGCCATGTTCCTCGAACTTGCGAACTTCATTGGCATACTCTGGGGCAAGAATCATTTTCCATCCGCTATCGGTCATAATCCAGAAAATCGGCGCCTATCTTTGGGGCGAGGCCCGTCGGAAGTCAGGAGCCCTGTGTGGCAAGTTTGAATGAAGAGCGGCTTGACTTGCCTTGGAGAATCCCTCTTTGACCAGTTCCTCGGCATTTTGAATAAAACTCTGCCGCGCCTTTCTCGACCACAGGTCCAGCCAGCTCGGCGTATTCACGCGGGGGTGCGTTTTGGATGTCGTGGCGAGGGCATAGTATGTGACCAACAGCAGGGTTGTTATCATAATAGCCACGCGCATGGCGTTAGAGTCTTGTAGTAAGGCTGCAGCATCCATTTTCACAGTGAAGCTCCGCCTACCTATTCAAATTGTGGATAGATCAAAGCGAGAGGGAAATTGGAATTGCTCTGCTCTTAAGCTTGGGGGAAGATTCATCGTGCCCTCTCTGCGTTGCACCATCTTCCCCTTGCCGAACTAAGCGGTCAAGACTTACGTATGTATTATGGGCGATTCTGCGAACAATCTGTGAGCGGTAAAAACTAAGTTACGTGGTATCTCTGATGGACAGGTGGCCACGGCTCCTTGCAGGAATACCAATGCCGGGAATACACCCAGCCCGTTCCTGGTGTTCTCTGGAACTAACCATATAAGATTGATCAACACGAGCTACCGGTAGGCTTACGAAAAGAATGTTATGGTGGATGCACCGTTGGCGACAGCTCTTTGGTCACCTATCTATCTACTTGGCATAACCCTCCTAAATGACCCTTATTTACCTGCATGTATCATGCAAGGTGGCCTTTCACAAACCCACCCAGCAATGCTGACTATGATAGGGAGGGTGAGAGAGCTTTTTGTGCGGAGAATCGATATATGGCCAGTGTGATATTTTGTAGTTACATAGCTTTTGTGTTTCAACCCCTTGGTTTAGGGATAGTTCCCAAGATATTACTTTGTCCGTTGCTTGTTATCAAATGACATTGACTGGAGATATGGAGCCGCATTACATGTTGAGTTCCCTTTTTCACTCCATCCAGGTCAGAGCACTCGGGTCACTCTGTTTGATAGGTGGATAATATCTACCAGGGGCCCATCGATGTCATACACGGGGGAGTACAGAGTGATGCGACAGGAAGTCAATGTCG